TCTCTCCACATTTCTACTTTTCTTCAGACTCTGATGCTTCACAGGCCAAGCTGAATGAATCTCCACGACGCTTAGGGTGATGTGGGAAAATTAAAAATAAAGAATTCCCCGTTGTCTAGTGGCATCTATGTATGGCCACCCTTGTCCCATCCCATCTTGGATGCTGATGCTCTGTGGTTGAGCAGCAAGGGAGGTGAATCTGGGTGAGATCGTTTGGCCATTGCTGCCTAAAGCCACCATCGCTTAGAATCATTATGCCGGCGGCTTTATAAAGGCACTCGGTGTTCCCTCCTCAGCCTTGGGGGGAGCATCGGAGTAACTTGATAGAATAACTAGTTCCTACTGTGCAAACTGAGCCCTGTTAAGGTCAGACTTACTGGACCTTGGTGTGCATGTGAGAAGACTCTCGGGCTTTTGTTGAATTTGGAACACATCTTTGTTTGCACACAGGTCAAATTTCAGAGGGTTTGGGGAGATAGTTGGCAATAAGAAAGCATTTCTCTTGAAAAATCATGTTTTAAATGGTAACTCAGTTCTCAAGCCAGTCCACAAAAAAAAAGTCCCAGGAAAAAACCCTACTTAATCTTCAATATGGTTTTTATGTAAAACTGTATATTTGCAATAAAAATAGTAATATCCAGGACAATGGCCATATGAGTGATTATAAAAAATAGAAAAAAATTATTTGTTTACTCTGTTATAGTGAGTATTTGGGTAGAGAAATGGGCAAGTGTACCTATGTTTGGTAGACTCTAAGGAGATATCGACATCATTTCAAAGGCTTTAGAGTTGGTGGCTCTGGTTTCCTGAAGTGGGTGGCCTAGAAAATGTTTCTCCGGAAATCTGGATGGTTTCTTTTCCATGAGTATGTGAGAGGAGCAGGCATGGTGGGGCTCCCTATAATTCAAGAAGTCATTAGCCTGAGTCTGGAGAATGGAGAGTTTGAGGCCAACTTGGGCCGCACAGTGAGAACTTGTGTCAAAAAAGAACAGAAGAACAAAGCAAAGCAAAGTCGGTTAGGAGGTTGCACTGAGACAGCAAAGTCAGAAATCCTTTCTGTCAGAAGTGAGCACAGCCAAGAATTTATATGGGAGAACACGCTGACTAGGTCGTGTATCTGAGCCCAGAAAGGGGGTGGGGTGGGGTACTGACTAAAGTCGTCTGAATGGTGGCACAAGATGGACTGTTCAGGAATACAGATGTTTCGAGAGACAGCGCCTGGCACCTTCCTTACTGAAGCATGACGGAGTAGGCTGCAGTTAATGCAGGGATTCTCAGCTTGTCAAAGTGTTGAGGATAAATGACCATTGAGTGCCCAGTCCCAATTGGGAATCTGTTTCATCAACTGACCCACTTCCGGTCACTTCCTGGCCCACTCCTAGCACCTCCAGGTTTCAGAGCTCCTGGAAGATTGCAGAAGAGGGGTAGGAAGGATGCAGGAGCTGCAGGATGGGAAGGGTGATGTGAAATGATGTCCCCTTGATGTGACAAGGCACGTGTGCCCTCATGGGCTCAGTGCAGCGACGGCTGCCTGCACAAGGGAAGGCACTTAAAGTTCCATCATGGATGGGGGAGGGGATCATGAGGCTCCACCCTTAGAAGATGACAGATCGGCAGCTGATGGTTTTGGTTGGGCTGCCATTTCTCTCTGGATGTGTGGTTACCGGGAGACTGCCCCTGCTTTGATGGGACCCATGCTCATGCGCATAAAAGGCAGAACCAATAGATTCAGCAGGTTTCTTTGCAGAAGGATGTGTGAAGGACAACGGACAGAGGATCAGTGCATCGTCCTATACTCGTTAGAGAAGCTGGTTTGGCACGAGATGGTGATGAGTACAGAGACCCACAATAGGACAATGTGCAGAGAGTGAGAGAATTTGGAGCAGTCAGCCCAAACAGGGATATATTTATCAAATCTCTTCCCGCAAGGCTACAGAAGAGCTGGCTGAAAGATTATGAAGGTCAGAGGTGGTGGATGGCTCCAAAGAAGCAATGTGTTCTACACACAGTAGGGCTGATGAGAACTCACAGCCTGTGACAGTGTGTACACTACCTGCCCAAACTCAAGCCAGAAAAAAACCAGCATGAGAAGGGAAAATGGACACAAAGTTTCACCCCTAACCAAGGAACAGTTTGCATTCGATACCTGCTGCTGGGAGAATCAGTCCACTAGAGAAAACTGATTTTCTCTAATGAACACTGGGCGTATCACCCACACTTCAGAGCAGGCCACATGCTCAGGAATAGCTGGCCAACATAAAACAGACCTTGTGGTATTACAGACATGTGCCCCTTGGCCTGGTGCTGTATGTAATACCAGCATTGGGGAGGCAGAGACAGGTCAGCTCCAGGTTTAGTGAACACCCGGGATATTAGAGGAAGACACCAGTGCTCTCTTTCTCTCCTTCTCTCTCTCTCTCTCTCTCTCTCTCTCTCTCTCTCTCTCTCTCCCCCTCACACACACACTTTACACAAACATACACAAAAAACAATATAGAAAAGTTATCAATTAGCCTTGCTATAACTATTTTAAGATTTTTAAACTTGTATGTTGAAAAAAATGTTGTCATATGTTTTTCAGTAATTTCTACTCATACTTAATCCAGGACAAGTTGTTTGTCTGTGCTGTCAAGGAAGGAATACCTGCTGAATAAGTTAATCGCAGTGCCACTAATTTGTTTAGTATCTTAGAGAGCACCAGTATTCAGGTACTCTAAATTATGAGTGCTACTGGCCTACAACTAAAGATTATCATTTTAATGTCTACTTAGTAATAAGAGGGTTTTTTTGAAATTTGTCTGGGAACATATTAAATGTTGTTAAAGTATATTAAGGAGGCTGGGAAAATGGCTCAGGGGTTAAGAACCCTGGTTGCTCTTCCAAAACCAGTTGGGTTCTGTCCCCAACACCCATCTGGCAGCTCCCAATCATCCCCAGCTCCGATTCCAATGGACCCAATGTCCTCTTCCGAACCCCCAAGCACCCAGCATGCATGTGATACACATATGTATATGCAGACAAAATACTCATATGCATAAAGCAAATCTTTATGTTAAGAACAACATTTCTACACCTTAGGAATTACATTCCTCTAATTAAGCTATGTTACGGGGCTGTTACTTCATATTGTCATAAAATCTTATATTTAGTTTTCACAGATTGAAAGCTTCTTTTTTTTTTTTTAAATAAGCATAGTTAAGTTGCATTAAAAGAATTTCCTAGCCTTGGGCAGCTTTTTAATGTAAAGCTATTAGCACGCTAAGGAATAAGTAGGGAGCAGAGAATGCCAGGTGCTTAGTATACACCGCCACTCAGTTTGCACGAATCTGTCAACATTTAATGCAAGTTATCTGCTAGTGCTGTCCCTGTCACTGAGAGTGATTGTTAAATTGCCACAGACGAAGAAGAAACCTTACAGTCAGCATAGTGCACATTAAACAAGTTACATAATATATACAAACATATATAAACACTGTCAGACGTAAGCCAAACATTGCACTCTGAGAGTTAGGAGCCTTCTGCTGGAGCATGTGATTCAAGACCGTGTGTGAGATATATTAAATACGGGGCGCACTGTGAGGAGATCTGAGTCACCTAAATAGTATACACTCACATTTGAAGACGGTATTTTTTAAAAAGCTGGTGTCCCTGAGGACAGAGATCATCACAATAAAGGGAAAAGAAAGAGGAAACGAGACAAGAATTCCAGGAAGTATTTGAACTAATTTCATGTCCCACAACGGCTTTATTTACCACTGCTCCATAAAGAGGGTGGCTCACCAACCATTGGGTCCTTTACTGCAGAACCTCCTGTTTTCCTCTTGCCCCTACATACAGAACATGTGGGGGTGAAAAAGGAAGCCATTCAGAGTGTCAGTGACCCCCGGCCTGTGGCTGGGCCCTGTGGATGGCTAAGACTGTGGTTCAGGAAGCCTGTCCCTTCATCAGAGACACTGGGCCCTTGTAGCTACTAGGAGAAGGTTCTCAAGAGAGGCTGTCTTCTGAGGACAACATCCGATTCTCAAAAGTTTTGTTTTTGTTTTATTGCAAATGTGACATTTTCAAGGGCTTGGGTTACTTCATTCCTTTACTTCCTAGAAGGAACCTGAGCCAGATTTGGACCTTAGTCTAGATGGGTTTGCCTTTGGGACAGTGGGGCACTTTGGTAATGAATGAGTGGCCAGCAGAGCAGCTGCCTGGACAGGGGGCAGAAACAGGCAGAGAGGGAGAATCTCAGGCCTAGCCCAGAACCTATTCTCGATGGACTCCCAGGCTCCTTCCAGAACCGGCTTTTGAATAAAGCTCTGGGCCCTGCTCTGACCCAGCTTCCTTACAGACCCTCAGGTCAGGCCCTATTAGCTTTTTCTAGACCCCCAGGTTTTACTTTGACCCTGCCTTCTAACACACCTCTAAGAACACTTTCTGCTTCTGCTTCTAATAGACTTCTCAGGCCCTGCCCTAACTCTGCATTCCAATAGGCCAAGGTCCTTCCTTGGCCCTGTAAGTGCCGTAGACACTATTCCTGCACTGGCCATACTTTTTCCTAGACCCCCAGAAGGTTTTCAAGTCTGCACTGCACTGCTTTGGGCTTCTCTATAAGCTTTCACTACCATGGGAGCCCTGAACATTCCAGTCTAGGGGTTCTCAGCGCATGGAGACAGCTTTTGGCAAATTCTCACATTTTACCACTTGCTGTTGACAACAGCTGCGAGAACCCATCTTGGCAAAGATTCTCATGTCTTTGGGCAACATCCCAGAAAAGACTTCTAAAAACAGTATTTTATACTAACTCTCCCAAATGTGACATACCTAATTACAATTTCGGTTTGGTTGTGCTATTGATGAAACGGTCTATAAAAGGTCATCACTGAAAAAGGTTCAATAGTTGACAGGTTGCTAGGAGCAATAAATGTTTGCTCAGGTTGAGACTTTACACTAGGTTATGCTCAGCGATCACAGAAGCAAGCTAAGTTGAGCCACTGCTTAGACCACGCTCCTACCTTTATATCCTGTGGGTTGATTTCAGGGTTTGTTTGACATCGCAGAGGCCCCAGAGTTTGAAGATGAAAAATATAGAGGAGAAACTCATCTCGTGCCGAGAATGGCCAGCCCACTTCCAGAATGGTGTCACTGATGGTGCTGGGTCCGATATTGTGCAGCTGCAAGAAGGTGACACATTAGGAGATGTGGTCCAACTCCGTCTCTCACGGGTCTGTTTGGAAAAGCACTTGTGGTTGGTGTTGACTATGGCGGTAGAACACAGAGTGCCCCCAGGCAGGGGGAGCTCTGAAATCACAGTACTTAGAAATTCAGGGAAGAGCATGAAGCAATTCTTATCAGAAAGGCTTGGGACCAGAAGTATTTTAAGCTTCAGAATACTCAGGGATGGGACCCAGTTGCAATCACAAAATTCCGTGATATTTCAGAAACACCTTACTATGCGTAGCTTGAAGACAACTTTTTAGATCTTTTTTACTTATTTAAGTGTATTTGGGCGTGCACAGCCGCCTGTGCACACATGTGCCTGTGGAGGCCTGAGGTTGGCATCAGCTGTCTTCCTGAATTGCTTCACACCTATGTATTCAGATAGTGTCTCTTACTTGGACTCAGAGCTCACTGCTACAGGGCTGGACATAGCTGTTCAGCTTGCTCCAGGGATCTCCTGTCTTTGCTTCCTAAACCCTTGGATGACAAGCAGGCTACCACACCCACATGGCAAGGGTCTTACCCACTGAGCCAACTGCCCAGTCCATTGTCTTTTTAATGTGCTTGCGCTTTGGCTACGGTCTGTCCCATGAGGCCAGGTATGATATTTTCTTCTTGGACCTGGTATCAAAACAATTGGACTTTGTAGTACATTCCGATGTTTTTCAGATTAGAGAGGCCCCATCTGTACTCCGTGTGTGCAATCACTGCTATGCTTACCTTGAATTTATGTAAATTTAACGGTAGCACTAGAAATGCAATTTTAATTATAGGCTTCCAAAATGTAGTCATCCTTTCTTTACATTTGGAATTGGCCTCCTCCTGCCTGACTACTGGCTTGTCAATTGCAACCATATGGGATGCACTCTCTTTCACCCTCTGGAAAAAGGGCCATCCATCAAGCACCAAGGCCTGTCTGTGCGCCTTACAATTCTCTGCCAGTGAGTGTTTCAAAGCTGATGTTGCTGTCATTAGCCATTCCCAGAGAAAGGAAGGCCACATCTCATGAAGACAAACATTTTAAACACGTGACTTCTGCTCAGAAGACACAGATGCCATCCCCTGCAAACACTTAGCACATTGGAAGGAATTATGAGTTTACAAATTCTCTTTAAAATGAGTAGAGATCTTTGTGTGCCCCGCCCCCCGGTTCTGACAATTACCATCAGAATCTATGAAGCAGTGTGGTTTCAGTTTTTATTTGATGGCCTGTGTAATTCACATCATTAAAGGAGCATGGCATCCACTGACATAGCATGTTATGAGACCTGAGATTAGTGTGTAAGAAATACTTGGTGACTGGGAGGAGGGATGGGGCATCCTGGTGCCTGCTTTAAACTTTCATGATGTTTATGCTAATCCCAGAAGCAGAATTGCACATAAATGATTGAATCTGAGCATTTTTTCCAAGCTTTGAAGTTTTACCATTCTTAAGAGGAAATTGACTCCCACAGTTTCATAATGATTCAACAGCTTGCTATTGTCCCAGTGAAGTTCTTGACCCGAGTGACGTTGGAAAAGGTGTTGGAGTCCAGCCTCGACAGGGTTTGCACGGTTCAGGGTAGGGGGGTGTGGGATAGAAATATTAGATAGGAAGAACAGAGATATGAAAGAAAAGGAACAAAGACATAGAATAGAACCTGGAGGGCAATCCAGTGAATACTGAATTTGCCTTCATTTATTTTCCATATGCTTATATACCCCAATCCAAAAGGGGGGAAGGCAAAATGACTACTTTAATGTGATTCAAAGAACAAACAGAGCAATTACTTGCTTCAATATATGAAACATCAAGTCACTATATTCTGAGTTAAGCATTTTGTTGTTAAGGCAGGACACGCAGTGACTACACCTTAGACCAAGCAACTGGTAGGCAGCCACTCCTTGTGTCAAACCATCTGTCACGTCCTTGAAGGAGCAGTAACAGGCTTGAATTCTCTGTCCTTTGGTCAGGGTGGAAGGGATTCATTTCTGTGGGCCAAATCAATATCCAAAACACCAAGTAAGCACACCCTAGATTAAGATATTTTTTGTAGCCACACCTTAAATCAGACCTCTTGTCAATAACCTTGAAAGAGCCAGAATAGGCTTAAATTCTCTGCTCTTCAGTCAAGGTAGAGAGGACCCATTTCTGTGGGCCCCTACAGACAGGCTGCCTTTTTGTTATAAGAAGAACCTAAGTTCAGGCCAGGGCTTCTGAAGGTGTAGATAAAGGAAGTTTATGCCAATACTGTTCTCCCCAAGGAGGAAGAGCTCAAGTTTGGGAGGGAGGGGGTCTTCATAGCCCTCTGTAATGGTTAATGTCAACTGTCACTTGACAGAAGCTAGAATCACCTGAGATATAGGGATTGTCTTGATTTTGCATTGTTGTGGGAAGGGTTCTTATTCACTGAGTAGGTGGGACTTCCCCCCTGGTCTGTATAAATGGAGGAGGTGGCCAGAGCTTGCATTTCTCTCTGACTCCTGAGTGCAGATGCAGTGAGACTAGACAGCCTCCTGTGCCTGCCACTATGTCCTCCCTGCTCGCTGCCATGTCTTTGCTGCCATGACGAACTGCATTCCTCTCAGACTGTAAGCTAAAATAAATCTTCTTCCCTTAAGTCACTGTTCTCAGTGTATTTTATCACAGCTAGGAAAAAGTACCTAATGCACTCTTGTCACGAGATGAAAGCTATCTTCGGAAATAAAATGACTCCCACTGGCATTTTGCTGTACCCATAGATCAATGCCTTGCTCATCCATCATCAGAGGAGCTTCCTCCTGCAGCAGATGGGAACAAATGCAGAAACCCACATCTGCACAGTATGCAGAGAGTGAGAGACCTTGGAACACTCAATCCTAAATGGGAAGTTTCTCTCCATCACACTCCCTCCCAAGACTAGGAGAGACTGCAGAAGAAGAGGTAAAAAGATGACAAGAGCCGGAAATGGTGGAGGACCAAGAAAACAAGGGCTTCCAAACACAGCAGGATTGATCCACATATGAACTCACAGAGACTGGCAGCAAATAGTTCCTACATGGATCTTTGCCAGGTAGGATCCCAGCACTGAGAGAGGAAGTAGACACATGCTCCCATCCCTAACCCTGAAGCTAGATACTCCAATTGATAATCACTTACAAATGAGAAATGAGTTTTTTCCAGTGGAGTCTCACTGGGTATGCACTCAGCAGTAGATGGGAAACACATAATGAATGCAATGACATTTTGAAGTTCTTCGTCTCATAACGCTTTGTCAGGGCTTTTTTTCCCCCTTACAGGTCCTTTGTGTGTGTGTGTGTGTGTGTGTGTGTGTGTGTGTGTGTGTGTGTGTGTATGTATGTTCTGGTTTTGTGTTTTTATGGGCTTTCTATGTGCAGATGCACATGTGTGTCTCTGCCTATATATGCTTCTGGAGTTTTTTCTTTGGATCTTATTTGTTCTGATTGCTTTATTGTATTATTATTTTTAAATGCCTGTTTGCATCCTAATGAGAAAGAGCAAGAAAGGGTATGGATCTGAGTGTGTGTGGAGACAGAGAGGAGCTAGGAGGAGTTGGAGGGAGGGAAACCATAATCAAAACATATTGTATTAAAACCTGCTTTCAGTTTTTAAAAAAGAGCGTTATGTTCAGAACAATTGGTTCAGAGGCATGGAGGAACAGAGGATGAATGGAGAAAGGATCTCAATTAGAGAGTCGATTGGAATTGTATTTTTCTGAAATTCCATGCTGGGTTCCCTGAAAACGAATTACTGCATGGTTGATAGCATTAACTTCAAAGAAAAACCTAAATAACTGTTAAATTAAGCCTCTGTCATACGTTTATTGTTTATATTAAATTTAAATATTTTAGGTAACATGTCAACAAGTGATCTTACTATTAACAGTTTAAGACTTTGTGTGGGAAAAGAACATCGGGCTCTTTTTGCAGGATGCTGTTTCTTCTGAAGACAGTTGACTAACCCATGGAGTATTTGGATCTCAGAATAAATTATTCACTTTCAACTTCAGTTATACAAATAAAAAAGTAAAAATCATTTTATCATGTTCTTGCCTCATAAATTATATCTATATTTTGGTCCAATAATGACTAATTAATAGAGTATTCTAATAGTACTTTATAGTTAATGACATTTAGTTTATATATAGGTAAGCTTAAGGACATCTGAAAGCATGAAAGAAATACAATCAAAGAAAATAGGCTTTTTTGATGCATAGGTTCTCCAAATATTAAGTGGAGAACAAATAAAAATATTTTTAAAAGATCACTTAATAAGATAAAATGTTTCTTGCCCGGTAATAGATCTGACTACTGAGGACTGAGTGTCCATGTCTCTGGGTACTCAGCTGGGTAGCCATCAGCAGCCACTATAGCCATACTAGTGTATTCAGCAGGGCACTCATTGACAGTCAGTATAGCTATACCAGTCTATGGGTAGTTATTCATCAGGGCACCATAGCCATAACAGCACAAGTTATAAAGTTTGGACCTTGAACTGGGACCTGAGGTTCTATGAATTTCTTATTAGTAAGGAGTACCTGAATAAAACATCAAAAATTAATATAGGAAATAACTTTCTTGGATTGAAGAGATGGCTCAGGAGTTAAGAGCACTGGCTACTCTTCCAGTGGACCTGAGTTCAGTTTCTAGTGCCCACATGAGGTAGTTTACAACCACCTACGATTCCAGTTCCAGAGGATCAGATGCCACCTTCTAGCCTCCACAGGCACATATGCCGTGCATATATGTGTACACACACACACACACACACACACACACACACACACACACGTAGGCAGAACCCCCAATGCATAAACTTGATAAAATAATAATTAAAAAAGAAATAGATACCTCATAAATATGTTCCACCAAAGGACCGACTTCCTCCTCCTTGTGGGGCTCCTTTTCTGGTTCCCAGTTGTGGATGGGCAGAACAATCTGCGGAGGGTGGGACACTCTGGAATGTGTAATATTAGGTTGATTACTGATGAGCGCCTGCTAAGGATGTCTTCCTTGCATATTACTATATAGTTACACTGGTTCCAGAGGAAGCAAACTGCTCTCCAGTTACCTGGGACTATATCTGACACACGGCTAGACACTGTTAGTAAGTCGTGCCAAAATGACCGAGGGAATAGTGGAGACACAGAAGCACTGTGCGTTCTCATGCCCTGGCCTATGGTCCAGCCACATTTTACAGTCTTGTACATCTTACACTAGGGAGCAGGGCAGAGTGCATTATTGAGTGGACATGAACAATTCAACACATATATGGACATTTATAAAGCCTGCTATCCACTCTTTGTAAGTATGTGTATGTGTCTCCTGGCATAGAGGTTATGTAATCCCTGCTTTAACCCAGAGTAAGAAAGAGTATGTGTGTGTGTGTGTGTGTGTGTGTAAATATATCTAGGCTCCTGTGAGATGTATTCAATATCTAGATAAAAAGATATACAGTTTCTGGTTAAAAATGTCTGCATAGACCAGTGGACACTCTGTATATATTCCTTCTTTGTAGAGTCTTTTGGTTCCTGCTCCTGAAGAGGGCAGAGCCAGACTCAGGACTAGGCAGAATCAAGTGTGATCACAGCCTAGAGTTGTCTTACAGACAGTTTGTAGGACAAGCGAGGCAGAACTAAGTATTGCCATCATCTAAGTGCAAAATTAACTTAGCATTTCCAGTGTATACTTAGACAAACTTGATGAGTGAAATTTAGCTGTGGCATCCTGTGTACCTGTGTGTGTGCGGTGTGTGTGCATGGGTACACATGTGCTTATAAGTACTCCCCTCTTCTGGAGTAGGTGGAGGCCAGAACTTGATGCTAAGATGTCTGCATCAATTGCTTCTGCACCTTATATTTGAGATAGGACAGCTCACTGAACTTTGCACTCGCTGTTTTAGCTTTGCTGGGCTGGCCCAGCAGCAAGCCCAAGGAGTCCCTCAACCCCTGCAGTTCTGTGTTGGGGTTGTGGGGTTTGCACAGCCACACAGAGCCTTTTCCATGGGTTCTGAGGGTCCAAACTCAGATCCTCATTCTTACACAGCAAGGGCTTTTCCTTGAGCCCACTCCCAGCCCCTGAAGTAGAATGTTAAAAGATACCACTTTCTAGAACTCTATTGAGAAAAGGTCTCTTTGAAAGAATATTCATTTTTTAGCTAAAGTTAATTTCAACAGAACAAATCCTTGCGTGGGTCTCAAATGTTGCTTTGGAAACATTCAGTAATTACTGCAACCTCTAGTAACCCCAGCATTTTTTTCTCTTCTAGGCTGTTCTATGCATTAAGTGTTTATTCCTCTTTCCTGTTGAATAATATTCTATGGTATGGTTTGTTTACCATTGACTCACTGGGAACCATCTGGATTGTTTACAGTTTGAGGCTCTTATAAATAAATTTCTATAAACATTTATACAGAAATTTCTGTGTAAGCTTAAGTTTTCATTTTCTGAGAATATTTTTTTCTGGGATAAATAAAAATAGTTTTTCTATTGTTGAAGTTTGTTTGCTGTTGGGAACTTAAAAACTGAGGATTTGGTTATATGATGTAAATTCTTTTAAAAATATAATAGGACCTGTCTCCTATTTCTATTAATTCCAAATAGCAAAGAGCATCATTTATTGTCTTGAACAAGGTTGACTACTTGCTATGGATAGAATCCAACATAGGCTTTGGTTACTTATGGGTTTTTCTCTTATTAATTTTTCTCTTATTATTTATGTATTCATTCATTCATTCATTTTCTTGTGTATGAGCATGTGTGTATGTGTGTGTGTATTTTCCATGGCTCGTGTGTGTGTATTTGCCATTGCATGTATGTGTGTGTATTAGACATGGTGTGCACGTGCACATGCATGTGGGTATTTGCCATGGCTGTGTGTGTGCATGTGTGTTTGTGTATTTTCCATTACATGTGTGTGTGTGCGTGCATGCACGTGTGTATTTGCCATGGTGTGTGCATGTGTGTGGGTTTTTGTGTGTGTGTGTGTATTTGCCATGATGACATTCCTGTGGAGGTCAGAGGATGTCGTGTATGATTCAGAACTTCTACCATTTTGGTTTTGATCCTGGGGACAACAATTGGGTCCTTAGGCTGGGTAGCGAGTGCATTACCTGCTGCACCCCTCTCGTGGGTGCTGCTGCTTCCTCTCTCCATACAGCCTACCCCGTTGGATTAGTTTGAAAAGGCTGTGTATTCTGTAAATCTTCATGAACCTAATCTACATAGTGTTGCCACTGAAGGCTAAGCTTACTTAGTGCAGATCGGTGTTAAATCAACCCTTTGTCATGTGAATTGTTTGCCAACTGGCTCAAAGACTGGTTGATGCCATGTAGTAATGAGTCAAATGAAACAGTTCTAAGTACTTTTACCCCCTCCAAAAATAGCTTCTACTTAAGTTTATTTTTAAACTATTAAAACAACAACAAATAAAAATGGGCTTAACATAGAGCATGATAAAGCAGCTCAGAATAAACTCCAGTGACCGAAAGAAAATGTGGATTCCTGAAGGCTGACCACGAAAGATCTTCCACATAGCAACTACTTCTTCCTTGAAGAATTAATTATTGGAACCAATGTTTTAAAAGCATAATCAGAGGACAGAGTTTTGTTATGCGATATGGCCAAAATGAACATTTACACTGTCAGAGAATAAACTATGGTCAATTGTTGGACATTAATGCAACAACTAAAACAGCTGCATCCACCCGAGAAACCCGGTTTTAATTAGCTGTTTGGATTATTGCCAATAAGGAATAGAAATTTCTTTTTTCACTGTACCCGATGGCAGAAATACGTGAGGAAACATTAATTCCCTAAGACGAATGTGTGAGAATGAAGGGAGTTACAGCCTTTCAATGCCTTGGAATTACTTATACATTATATGAAAAAAATTCCCCATTATATGAAAAAAATTTTAATTTATTTACAAAAATTTAAATTTAGAATTACAAAGCAGTTAATATATGTGGTATCATCATCATTATTGTTTTTATTATTATTGGTTTTGTAAGACAAAGTTTCTCTGTATAGCCCTGGTGCTCCTGGAACTTGCTCTATAGGTCAGGTTGGCCTCAAACTCAGAGATCCATCTGCCTCTGCCTCTCAAGTGCTGTGATTAAAGTATACACTACTATACCCAGCTTGGTTTCTATCATTTGGGGGTTGTAAAACTAAAATGAACTGCAGAGTATTGGGTGGCACAGATTTGCAATCCCAGATATCCACAGGCCTGTAATTCTAGCTACTCAAGAGTGGGCCAGCAGGACCGAAAGCTCCAAGTCTGTAGAGCAAGTTCAAGGCCCACTTTGAAAACTTGTGACTTCTGCCTTGAAAGAAAAAGTAGAAGGAAGCTCAAGGAGGTAGCTGTGTGGCTGGGCATTACTTAGCATACCCAAGGTCCGAGGTGCAGTGAACAACACACCCAACCCAAATAATAAACAATAACAAAACTCTGAGATAACAGAGGAGGAGGCAAGGGTTCGTGAACACTAGTGACAATTCTGAAACCACAGGAGACAGCAGAAATGAATGCTATTTTTTCTTCTCTGAGCTTTTAAAACAGTGGCTTTCTTTGAGAAAGAGAGAAGGGAATGAAATTAAAACTCAACAAAAATAAAACAATACTAACTCCTAACTCCATATCACTGTACTTCAAGTAAATCACTGCCCTTGAGTCAGATGAATAGGAGAAATTATAGAGCAAGTAAGAAAATAGATCTGAGTTCTAAGGAAACCCACCATAGCAGCAGTTTAGAATGTCGCTAAAGTCATTCTTTTGCCAAGCTTGTATGCGCATCTATGTGTATGTGTGTGTGCATGTGGGTATGAGTATGTATGTGTGTTTGTGCATGTGTGTGAGTGAGTGAGTGAGTGGTGTATGCTCGTGTATGTGTGCCTATGTATGTCCATGTATGTGGATGCCGGTGGTACTAGCAGGTGTCTTCGTCTATCACTTTCCAGAACAGTTTTTGATATGGGTCTCTGACTGAATCTGGAACTTACTGACTGGAAAGGACTAACTGGCCAGCATGCCCCAGTGAGCCTCTTCTTTCTTCTCCTGCAGTGCTAAGATTGCAGCGATGCATGCCATACTTGGCTCCTTAGAGTAGGGACTGGGGGTTGGGTCTTAGGTTGTCATACTTGCTTGCACTGCAAATGCTTTATTGACTGTGCCATCTCACTGGCCCTCGATTAAGTCACTCTTAAAGAAAAATATATAGTGCTAATATTTTTACAAGTAAAAAAAACTCCAAAGATAGAATTTCGAGATGAAATTGGGGGCAAACACACACACACATACAGGGGGGGGGTCGGTGGAGGAGAGAGTAATATCAAATCCACTAGGGAAAAACAATACAGAAAAGCACAAAATAGACGAGAAGGAGCAGAAGTAGAAAGAGGTGTGTGGCCAGGTGCTGGAAGAATAGCCACCCTTCTCCTTGTTCCCCAGAACAAGGCAGTGATGGAAGAAGATAGGTCTAGCCCTGAGAGGCACAGTATCAAGAAGTCCGAGACTGTGTTTAAGTCTGAGTCAAGAGAGGGGAAAGAGAGCTACTCAGGCCCTTCTGAAATCAGTACTTTCTGCCCTGGGGGAGCAGAGAATTCCCAATGGAAGTAAAAAACCAAGAAACCCAGACTATAAACCTCAGCTGGAGGTAGGCAAGAGAAGACAAGGGGCTGGGAGAGAGGATGACACTCAGGCACACATCCAGAAGGAACACTCAGCCTTCTGAAGGGTGGGGTGTGTGCTCGTGCTGAGGCTAAAGAGATGCTCGGAAGTTAGGAACACTTGGATGTAGGAATGCTTCCAGTACATTCAATGAATCTGGTATCCCTTGACACTCAAGAAAGAAAATGATACTATAAGAAAATGACAGATCAATACTTCTCATGAGCATAATAAACATAAAAGTTACTAGCATAATTCTAGCCAATTCAAATCTGGAGTATCTTCTCCAGAAACAAGCTTAGTTTAAACTTTCAAAACAAAAATTAAGCAGCTCACAATTTTCATGGACCCGTGAAGAGGGAGACAGAACCATTTAATCATCTTTATAGGCACAGGCAAAGCACTGGACAGAACTGAATAGGTATTCATTCTAGCGGTTCTCAAGCAAAAATGAACAAAACGTGAAAGGGAACAGCCAGAACGTGGTAAACAGCATCTACGGAAACCATAATGTTAGCATCCAGCTAAACATGAAAGACTGAACCACTGTAAGAGCGAGAATAAAGCAAGGATGTCTCCTCGCACCACGTCTATCCCATCATGAACAAGTGAGCCTAGTCTTTGCTGTAAGAGGAGAAAAACAAAAGAAGGACAGTCAACAAGTCCAAGAAGAGGTCTGGCCTTGGTCCTCATTTTCAGCACGATAATTTCTAAGATACAATATGGCTGCCAGAAGTGACAAGGTCTGAGGCTTTGGACACACTAGATATTCCAGCAAGAGGAGTTGCTGTGATAGTGTCTAATCCAGAAACTTCAGCAGTGTAATTTATATGGGAGACTTGGTCGTATTATCTCGGTCAGCTTGGAGATGGATCACTTGGGTGGGTGGGCAATCCATCAATAACGCCTCTTTACAAGGACTAAGGAAACTTTGCCCCTGAGGCTTAGGGCACGGCAGGCGACACTCCCTGCATGCTGTTACACACCAGTGTGGGGAAGTAGTAGGTCATACCCTCCAGACAAGGACAAAGAGAAGCCAGAGTTTGTCACTTGTCCAGGTCCTTCTTTATATCCTTCTTCCTTTGGTGAGCTCAATCTGATTTTCCCCCAGTTGTAACCTGTTTCTGTGAGCTTGATAGATTAGGACAGGATCTGGGAGCTGCTTGTGTTAGTTAGACACGACAGTGCTTGTGCTAACTTGTTCTCCATTGCTGTGATAGAATGTTCTGACCAAAGACAACTTTGGGAAGAAAGGGGTCTATTTCGGCCTATAGTTTCAGGTATTAGTCTATCACTGAGGGAAGTCAGGGACAGGAACACAAGGAGAAACTGAAGTGGAAACCAGGAGGAGGGCGGCTGTTCCCGGCTGACTCACAGGGCTCACCCTGGAGGAGGGCTGTTACTGGCTAGCTCACAGGGTTCTGAGGGTTCTGCTCAGTCAGATTTCTTACACAGCCCAGACCACCTGCCTAGGGATGGATTGACATCCAAGAGGTCTAGGAAGGCTGGGCCCTCCCACATCAGTCATCAATCAGCCACTCACAGACATGGTCACAAGCTAATCTGATTGCGGCATTTCTTCAGTAGAGGATTCCTTTCCCCAGGTGACAGGTTGTGACAAGTTGACAATAAAAAACAAAACAAAACAAAACTAGGATCCGGTTCTTTTGGGGGATCCGCAACTTTATAGCTGGTTAAATTTATGCATATACAGTTTGAAAAGTAAGAAGGAACACAATTTTTGTTCACAGGCAACATACATATGCAATAAAAAAAAAATCTAGGAAATCAACAAAATTCACTGCAACTTACATGCTTGTCAAACATGAGGACATGTTCCCCCATTTCAAAACTTCCCATCCCTGTTATATGGCACAGCAAAATATCTAGGGCTAGACCCTTACATTTGAGCAAAAGATTTGTTTTAAAAGTGTCACAGTAATGAAAGGGGTGAAATGGTGGGCTCTCCAGCAAACAGGCCAAGAAGAAACAGATACACAGGAGTGAAACACATTTCGGGCCTTACTTTACACCAGTCACAAAAGTTGCCCGGAAGGGAATTGTAAACCTAAACAGAATGCTAAACATTGGAGAAGGGAAAGGACAAAGCTTGCTGTGAGCCCAGAGGGGCAGTTATTATCCAGAGAGGACCCAACGGCACAAACCATGACAAAACCTGTTGATAGATTTTCATTCTTTAAACAATATTGTTAGGAAAATATAGAGTCAAATACATCATATGGGGATAAATTATTTTAAGGCCAGATACATGGCAAGGGATTTCCTACCCAGGACATGTAACAAGACAAACAATTTCATAGTGAATGAATGGATGAAAGATCGAAGCAGATACTTCACGGAAAAAGGAGAGACTAGTGGCAAACAACCCTGGAAGAAATATACAGTACCATTAGTCCTTAAGCAAAGGGACTCTAAAATGCACACTTACTATACTAGAATGTATGTGTGTATGCGTGTGCATGTGTGCATGTGCGTGTGTGTGTGTGTGTGTGTGTGTGTGTGTGTGTGCGTATGAGTGTATTTTCTCACATGCTGGCATGGATGGGAGACTTGGGACTCTCTTGCATTACTAATGGGAATTCACAAAAGGCATGGCTCAGCCTTCAGCCCTTCCGCAAGGCAATTGGGCAAGCTCTTATAAACATGTATTTACCATATAACTCAGTAGTAGCTCCATTTGGGAGAACAAATATCCCAACAAAAACTTGTATGTGAATAGCCATAGCGGCTATGTCTCACTCAACCAACAGGCTCAGAGTTAAGGCTGGACCACCCTGAGAGTGAACTTTCACCCAGTTCTTCCGGGAGTGAGATTTGGTAAAAGTCATTTACAAGTGATTTGATGTCAGTCAGTAAAGTGAGTAGCACACTCTAGCTGGTCTTGAAATCCCACTTCTTAGCATATTTCTTCCATATTGTACCAGAAGATGTGCATGAAAAGTTCTAAAAATTAGGGGTGTGGGAGCTCCAAACGTTCATAGAATGAATGTGTGATAGTGGAATTTTACAACATAACACTCTTGTATCAATAAGCTGATGAATTACAAGCATAGGTGCTAAGATGGGCAAATCTCACAAGCATTTATGTGAATCAAAAAAAAAAAAAACCCCAACAAAACAACCCACAGTAGTGAGTATTAACAAGGTCACAGAATAAGGTTCAAAAGACTATCTCATAGGAGGGATACAGTCGCTGTTACTGGGAGTGAGCTCCGGAGACAGATTGACTGTGGTTATAGTTTAGCTTCCAGTGTTTTCTAGCAGTGTTCACAACCCCCTGACTTATACATGGAGGGAATCAGCATAGTGAAATGGCTCTGCATGCAGAGATCCTGGAGGAGTGAGCACCAGCCAGGACATGTGGAAAGGAAGGCAAGCAGGATCCTGGAGCCCAAGGAGAATGTGGTTTAAAATACCAGTTAATGCTTTTAGCTGCTATTGGTCTGAAGAAAGCAGACTTACAGTAACAAAATCAATAAAAGCCGCTGCTACAACCCAATTTCCTTCTTCGCCAAGCAAGGTTTCCTAGCTGGGAGTCATTCAAAGACTTCCCTTGAGCTTCTCCCTCCTCACTCCCCTTCTCAAAGAATAGGACGGATGGACAGACCAGGATACAGAACGCGGAGTCATTGATGCTCACATATATGCTAGCAGTTTTCCAAACTCACAATGAGATGGGCAAGGTTAAATGACCACCACGTTAAACAATTCTAGTGAAAGTGAGGATTTTCCTCCGGACAATCATACATCTATCTATCCAATTAGTTTCTCATTAGTGGTATTCCTAGTTTGGTTACTAAAGTCTTGGTCTGGGCAATTAAGTGACCTCTTGCTTTGATATCATTAGACGTAATTGTTTTACAAGGTTCATTTTGCTTGCTGATGGTCGAATGCTGAGCAGGAAGGATGAAAACCAGTAACTGAACTGAACATGAATGTCGTTTTGTCTAGTCCTTCATTGTAAGTCTTTACACACAAAAATTAAACATAATGATGCACCACACTTACCCTCTTATTTCTACTTGAGCGACAGCGGTGATGTTGATTCGCAGACTCACAAAATTGCTGTCTGGATTGTCCTTGTTGGAGCTGAAACAGCAAAGACATGATTTCAGTATACTTTCTCACAGTCACGAGAAACCTTCTGTACATCACAAGAGCAAACCACATTTCCAATTTCAGCCCTTGGGAAAACCACAGCATTTATTCTACAAAATCATAACCACTTGTCCAGGGAGATGCTAAGGGCTTTGGGGATCTATAGAAAGCAATCAGCAGTCCCTGGGGTGATGCCTCGTTTGAAAGCACAGTGGCGATGGGAGAAGCAAGTACCTTTTAGTTAGACTAAACCGAAGGGGCACTGAATGGCATTTGTTTTCCTGCTTCTACCTCAGACAAATTCTTTTGCTTCCCTACATATCATGCTCAGTGCCATTCAGATAGGAAATGACAGCTCAGTCAACTCCAGATTTTCCATGCTAATAAATGGAGACCTGGCATAAATAACTCAGAACATCTCATAACTGGGAAAACTTTTGGACTTGGCTCTACAGTGCGTCACACCATATGCTGTTTTGTCGGCAATTTTTATCTTCCTTATGCTTTATTTCTTAAGTTAATGTTAATATTTAAATAAGTGTTTTATTATATTTATAAGTTAATACTACTATATAAAATAAGTGATTACAGTCATTTTACCCCCATGAGCTGTCCATGGCAAGGAACAAGAGGGATTAGAAGCCCGGCTATGGCATTGAGAGGCATGAGAAAACTGGGCATTGCATAAGCAAGCGGTTCAGAGGACATGGTGCTTGTGAAATGCTTCAAGAGTCTTGAGACAGTATGAGTTTCATAACTTCTCTTTGAATATGGCTGAAAAATTTAAGTTTGCTGCTTTTCCCTCAAGCAAATAGGATTAATTATCAATTATGAAACTGAACTTTGCAAAAAAGAATACATGTTAAGCAGTCAGGGCTTAAAAGGAAAATTAACTAGAACTCCCAAGAGGCTAAAGCAGCACCTGGTCCTTAGATGTAGCTGCCACCCACACTTCATGCCCCCTCTGTGCCTTCATCGAAGTCAGAGATGGAGCTACTACTTTGGGTGGTGGTTATAGCCAGGTTGGTAAGAAGGGAGAGCCTGCCCTGTGGTTCTCATGAGTGCTGCTTGGCTTCAGTGGGCAAGCTCTCTGTGTGAAGATGGCCACAGGGTAGATTTGCATGAGTGTTCTGATGCTCTCCCAGCCATGGCTTGGGAAAGGAATCGATAAAATCCTGCTTCCAACTAGAGAAAACAGGGTTGTTTCCAAAGTGCCTTTGAAAAGACCTTGTTGGTTCTGTTTTACTCAGGAGACAACTTAAACTGCCAACACTGGTAAAGATGCAACTGGCAGATGTCAGGCTCGTTCCCTGAAGGGAACATCCCCCTGCTAAGCTTGCGATGGAATCTACAGGAACTCCCCACCCCCCCAATTAAAGTTCCATCTCCAACCACTAATTTCGCTTTTACCACATCTGGGGGGAAGGCTTCTTTATCCCTTTAAAAAGAAAGCATTCAAAAATTCAACTACTGGAAATTGTCTTTGAACTTGAATTTAAGATGAGTTGCAGAGGATGTTTTGATTTTTTAATCACATTTATTTATCTATGCACTTATATATGTGTATGTGAGTATATGTGTGTGCCACAGCATGAGACTGGAGGTTGGGGAAGAACTGTAGGAGTTGGTTCTTTCCTTTAAAACCAAGTAGGTCCTGGGGAATTGAACTTGGTCATCAGGCTTAACAATAACAATAAGTATCTTCATCTGGTGAGCCATCCTCCCTGACCACCTCCTTTGAAATTCAGCGAGAGCAGAGGCTGACATAGCTCAGTCCCCGATTGTGTAGTGAGCATAGCTCTTTCACAGTATGCCAGTGTGGGTCACTTTGCACTGTGGCAATGCTGGCAAGGTTCCCGGCAAGGAAGGATCTGACTTGCTATATAACTCATATGCTTCCTTGACATCTTTCCTGGAAGGAAACTTCCCCCACTAATACCATAGCTACATGCCAACAAGCAACCCATCATCATAAGACCCTGGGTTTTTATACCATCCCCTTAGTTCCACAGAAGGAATGATGAATTTCCCTTCTGTAACTATAACCCATGTCACATAAGAAAGACATTGTTTTTCTCCTTATTAATACAATGCCATTTCCTATTGACTTCTGTTTTCCAGTATTCCTTCTATATACTCTGGCCTTTGGAATGCCAATGAAGACATTATACGTCACTTAACCATGACTGAGAAAGCAACTTCCAGGATGCTCATGAAGGTGTATATGGAACTGTGTCCTGCACTTCAGGGTGGAGAGATCATTTTATGCAATTATTTGGTAACAGGAAATATTTTAAGTGAATTAGTGTATGAAACCAGCCTACTTTCTGACTTTAACTTGTGTAAAGGGGCATTCATTGTGGAGCACAGTAATCAATACATGGAAGAGTGCAGACTGTGTAGCATTTGACCTAATTTAGTTTTTGTTTGAACACATTTAACTTGAATGCAAAGCCACCTCTGTGAATCCTTACATCTTTGCAGTTAGCCAGCAAAGCATACAGATCAACACCTTCAAATACTTTAGTATTTGTTATGAAGGTGTCCTCAAACTCTTTTATTCCCCAAATAAATTGAAAATTTTATCCCTGATCCATAACACAGTTTTTTCTGAATTTTTATAATTTTCAAAATAATATTACAATTGTCTTGAGCAGAAGTGGAATATGATCATGACTTGATTTTAGAAGAAGGTACATACATGCTAACCATGTTGTCATTTCTGATTCCGCCATATCTAACCCTTCATCAATGGATTCAGTTTTTATAAGAGGAGCATCTTTCCACACATGACAAAAGACTTCATACTTGTAGCGCAAGGCTTTAGACCCATGAAGGATCAATGACGTCAGCAATGATGGGGAGACACAGAAACCTCAAGTGCTTTTGTCTAAGGTGACATCAGTGCCCACACTTTAAGATTTAAAACTTGGTAATATGCACTCACAAGATTTTAAAAATGAAAAGTCTGGGGACCCAAGATTCACCAGAAAAAAACACTTAATTCAAGAAGGTGAGAAGCTAATTAAACTAATTACAATCAAGAAGCTAATTAAGGTGAGAAAGGAGCCTCTGAGCCAGCTACAAGGCTTCCTTTCCCTGGAAAGCTGCATCAAAGCTTTGGGTGGGGACAAGGAGAGGGGGTGGGTAACACATTTAGATTTAAACAGTTAATTCTTATCCTAAGATTTTTCTCAAACCTTTAGTTGATGTAGGTATTAAGGAAGTATTCCACCATACAGAATAATTATCATAAAACTTATCATACTCTAATATCTCTCTGTCTTATAAGATATTAAGGTAAATTACATAGTGTTTGATAACCAACTAATAAACACCAACTTTACAGCCACTTGCATGGTTTCAGCAAAGATTCCACGTGGTAGGCAGAATATAAATAATAATTGGAAGTGCCCATGAGCCATCTATATTAGTGTTTTATTTTTTTAAGATTTTTAAATGCTTGACTGCAAAAGAAATCCATTTGATAGGGTATCTTGTTAGATCTATATTTCTCAATAAGGAATCATTCATGTACAAGACTATTGTACTGCATTATATATTAGTTATATTATATTATATCTATTTCATTCCATTTTCTTTTCTTTTAATATGAGTCTAGAACCATTTAATTGATTCCATTACAATGCACTGAAGTTTGTATCTGAGAAAACCCAGTATGCATGCTTCATTTCTCTGGAAGTCTTTCTGCTCACGACATATTTCTAGTCATAAAGGAGCTAACAGAATAGAAAATGAAAGGGCAAGGCCGTGGCCAGATCTCTAGGACAGGTGGGCAGCTGTATGCATGACTACTAGTTACTAGTGAAGGACCTGGTCCCCACACAGTATTAGGTCATGTTGACCTGCCACAGAATGCCACTCACACCATCCAGAGTCTGAGTCCTTCCTGAACATTTGGGAGATGACAAGATTTCACTTAGAAGATGTATTTTCTTCTCCCAGATTGCCCCCAGGAATGAGCTGACTGCCTGCTGAGTGCAGAGTGAGGTTAGGTTTAGTACTTTCCTCTCTATAGTGTAGTACAGAACAGTCCGGAACAGTACAGTACAAGAGTGCTGTGTCCAGAAGGAGGAAACATGGAGGTGAATCAACAGACGCAGGGAGCTATTCAAGACACAATCTGACTATTTTGCATCCTGGCCTTAATCTCTTTCAAAATGCAAAACAACAACAACAAAAAAGGTGAAATAATTGAGAACAATAAAGAAGAACGAGGTGGTGAGAGTCTAGATTCTTATTCTAGGAGAATTTTTAATGTGCAGGTACTTGGCAGCAGGGTGCATATTAACCACGCATCTCTTCATTCATGGGTGCTGTCAACAAAGTAAGCATTTAAAAGTCTAACCTTCTGACTTGGAGATCGAAGTTAATGCTCGTATTTGTTTTCTCAAGACGAGGAACAGCAAATCGGAGGCCCAGAGAAAACTAAAAGCAAAACACAACACACATGGGACACAAAGGTGTTTGTAGGAGGACCTTATCCACAGCGTGACAGTCCCACCTTAGCCATTCCGCCACTCCACTCCAACACCATCACAGCCTTCCATCCCCCACTCTGGATGACTGGGAGGTAAGAGGAAATCTGCTAGCAAACCACAGGGCCTAGGAGACTCAGTTCAATACACACTTTGGCTCTCTCTACTTGGCCTTGTTGCCTGTCTTCTGCTACCGCGCTGATGTAGAACTTCTAACAACACAATATGGAAGATTTAGAGAACTGTGGTGCTTCTGTTTAACGGATGCGGTGTAGCTGTAGGGATCACAGCTGTGTGCCAATGCAATAATGCATGTGACAATTCTAATATAGTGATGCTCAACCAAGAATGATGGTTACAGAGTTCTGTGTGCCATGTATGTTAGCTATGGTCTGGGAAGTCCACACAAGCAAAATTATTATATGTTTAAGAAGACTGGGAGTGTACTGTAAGGAATATTGCAGGAGAGCATGTTGTAGTCAGGTTGTACTGTAAGGAATATTCCAGGAGAACATGTTATAGTCAGGTTGGGGTTATGGTTGTGAGGATTCCTTTGTCCTTCTTCATTTTCCAAATTGTGAAAAGTGCTCCTGAAAATAGGTTTGTAAGTGGAGAACAGGGAGCCCATGGGGAATCGGGATGAGGAAGTGAAATGGAAGCTATTGTATATATGTAACACCCTCTGTAAACCATGGTGCTACATGGTCGTCCAAGCAAAACTCTATGCCCTGTTTGCCTTATCTCAGGGACACTTATGTTGACATATTCCAATCCAATAGCTGTCAGAGGATTAGAGCAACAAAGGCAGAGCTGGGATTTCAATCCCTGTAAGGCAGATTCCAGAAACAGCCCTTACAGCTATTGCATTGTGCAAATGAAACCAGCAACAGAAAACAATGTTATTTAATCAGCAGCAATGACCTGTGATAATTTATCATAACTCCTCCACCCATGGTCCTTACCTTAATGCTGTATGCATTAGCATCATTTTGTGTTTGTGTGTATATTCTCATGTATGTGCATATGTATATGGAAGCCAGAGAATGACAGAGGCCTCTCTTTCTATAGCTCCCTACCTCATCACCTTGTTTCTATTACTGTTTTAGTTTGACAGATTTCTCACTGAACCTGGGGCCCCAGAGATCTTTTTGTGTTACCTCCTAGAACTTGGTTTTAGGCTGTTCTGAAGCACCTGGCTGGGGAGAGTATACGAATCTTGATTATAAAATGTGTACAATGCTTTAATGGTTAAGTGAGGAACTGCTTAACAATTTCAAATGTGTCTGTATTTGTTGGACCTCTGCATATGCTCTTCTCTCTTCTTCAGGAGATTTTTATCTTTACTTTGTCTTGCATTTTCTACTTCAAGAGCTTCTGAAAACTTAGGCTTTGTAACTCAGGGTAAGAGAGGTAATGAATTGGATGTTGAATGGCCTAAGACAGGTAAGCGTTCCTTTCTTATCCTCTGTCTCCATTATTATTCTTTTCTTACACAGCCTATGATGTTGCTAATATCAGTGCCCTGTTTCATAGGAATACAGTGTTTTCATATTATCTATCAGGTGTTTGTTAAGTAGCAGACTTATGGTGGTACACCAAGAAGGATGTGATAAAAAAATGTTGAAAGTATGGGAGTGGGAGTGTGTCCTTGTGCACACATGCAGTCATTGTGTTGAAGGCTGCCTAAAGTTAGTCCTCATACAGAACAATCTATATAGTGCTATGGGATTCCCTTCTGTATGCTGTGAATACCACTGGTTAATACAGAACTGTCTTGGCCTGTGATAGGGCAAAAGAGTAGAGATAGGCTGGGAAAACTAAACTGAATGCTGGGAGAAAGGAGGTAGAGTCAGGGAGAAGCCATGGAGCACTGCTGGAGACAAATGTGCTGAAACTTTGTTGGTAAGCCATGACCTCATGGTGGTGCACAGATGAAGGAAAATGGGTTAAATTAAGATGTAAGAGTTATCCAATAAGAAGCTAGAGCTAATGGGCCAAGCAGTGATTTAAGTAATATAGTTTCTGTGTGATTATTTTGGGGCTGAGCAGCTGGGAACCAACAAGCAGCCCCTCTCCCTACAACAATATAGAGTGAAGACAGACAAGACCTGTCAATTTCCTATAGGTAAGCATCACAAGCAGAGGCTGGAAAGATGATGACTCAGCAAGTAAGAGACCTTGCTGCTCATTCTTCTCTCGCCCCTGTGAACCATCCTACACATGTGGCATATACCCATACACATAAATAAAATAAAATTTAAAATAGTCATAGATCAAAATGTGTGCCACTTTTTTCCTTTGGAGAAATTTGCAAATATGAACCTTATTAGCACATAAAAACTATTTTATAGCATCATGGCATCTTCTTGTTTACATGTACATGTTTTTTACATGTAAACAACTTTTCTCTTTAAAAATCAGAAGTCAGAATTGTAATTACTGAGTGAACAGATTTAAATTAATAGTAAAAGTCATTTGAAAATTTTTCTTTTAAATTTTGAGCCTGGGATAAATATCCCTGGGTAGTTATTTGTTGAATGGTTTTAAACAGTAGGACTGCTTTTTCACCTGCAATTCGCTCCACTCCGTGGCCAGAGAGTGCTTTTTAACATGCAGCCTGAAGAGTGAGGGAATCAACATGTTTTATACCAAACCAGAATGCAATAAAGTCCGGTGTGTTTGAGGTCATTCGAGGGCAAGATAAGAAACCTATTAGCTTTCTTCTACAGGGACTTGGAGATAAATGAATCCAAACAATTTACTTCCCTGCCTTCTCCAGATTATTTGCTGGTAAAACGGATTGATAGTCTCTCACATAAACACTCCCATGGTGCAGACCACACTGCCATTTCCCTCCCTTTTCCACTGTGGCACTGGTGGCCGCATTGAGTTCAGTTTTACTCACAGTTATTGGTGCTTTGAGATCATCTGCCATCTAAATTTAATAGTCTCGGTACTGAATGAGAATGAGTGACCCTATCTGAATGCTGGTGTCGATACCCTCATGTCTTTCAGGTAAATACAATATTGTATCAAGTGGTGGGATTTATTTCCTTGCAAACTAACAAAACTGAGGTTAGTTTCTAACTGAAAGGACTATCATGGGAAAATGTCTTATTCTGTCTTTCATATCTTCTTTTCAACATCCATCTGTTGTTCATTACCTTCCATTCAAGTACTTTGCACAGTGTTGTAGGCCAGATAGAACCTGGGCTTTGTGGTCAGGCCTGGTTGGAATCCTGGTTCTGCCTTTCATCACCAGTGTGACTTCAGGCGATGTGTTTGTCTTTTCCAGGCCACAGTGTCCTTGTCTATTAAACAGGTGAGATGCAGTGGGCTAACACTGACACAGTTCTCTCGTGATGGTCTAGGGACACAGAGGGCATTTGGTACATGAGAGCTAACGGGAATCTGTTAAGGGATTTCACTGGAGTTGAAATGTTTAAGTTAATGAATGAATTAATTTTTTTTATACAAGAAGTAAGTTTACATGATTTCAGCTAGCCACGTTTTTTAAATACCCAAGATCAGTGTACTAAAATAGTGTAAAGGAGTAAAATTATGATTGATCGTACACGCTCCTGGAGTACACATTGGGAAGAGGTATTATTTCAGAAAAGGTTGCTGACGCTCAGTTCAGGTTGTGAAACACTGGGATAAAAGATCGATTTGCCAGAAGACACATCAACACTTTTGAAAGGCAATCCTGAGTCTTTCCAGGGATACATAGGATAGGCAACAGGACCCTGAAGTCCCCTTGAAAGGATGGCCAAGCGGCATGGGTGTCTCGAGCCCACCAGGGAGGTATCCCCATGCAAAACGATGCTATCATAAACTTTCACCAAGTTCTGTTCAAACAGGACATTCCGCTGATGACAGAAACACCTAAGTAAGGATTAACAGAGGATTATGTACATTCTCTTTATTGTGATTTAGTTGTGTGACCTTTTCAGAGTCTCAGAATTTGTTCCATGGCTTCAAAATTGCTGCTGTTATATTTATTATGAGGCGTTGCTGTTGAGAATTAAGCTGAGTTGAGCAAGTTATCCTGAGTCAGTGCCTACTCTTCTCTCTCAAGATCACTACTCGGCTTATTTTCCTTTCGACACTATGATCTTTGTATTATTTTTCAAATATATTTTATTTAAAATTGATTGATTGTGTGTGTGTGTGTGTGTGTGTGTGTGTGTGTGTGAGAGAGAGAGAGAGAGAGAGAGAGAGAGAGAGAGAGAGGTGTTCAGGTGTTCATAGAGGCCAGAAGAGGATGTTGGGCCTTCTGGAACTACAGTTCTATTGTGGGGGTGCTGGAAACAGAACTCTAATGCCCTGGAAAACAAAGCACTCTTACTGTCGAGACGCCTCTCTACCCCTATTTTTCAAACATAGACCTAGCAAAATCATTTACAAACCAGGTATGACTATTTCTAACATGAAAATACTATAATATTCACATGGGAGGCATATTGGAAAAAAGTTCTCTTTGCTTTGCTAATGTAGTTTAAAAATTATCTCCTCTCCCCCTTTAGACAAGGCTGGCCTTGAACCCACTGTAGCTTGGGGATGGGCTTGAATTTCTGGTCCTCTTTCCGCCAGCTCTTGAGTGCTGGCATTAAAGGCATGTGACTACACTCCTTGTTGGCTTACACAGTACCAGGGCTCGAACCCAGGACTTTGTGCGTGCTACGCAGTCATTCTACCAAGTAAACTACATTCTTAGCCCTCTTAAGTAGCTTATTTTAAAGCTTTTTAACTTAATATTGTAGTTTAAAGATAAAATCTATATTAGAATTAAAAGAAAATAATCAAAGGCAAAAATCTGAGGCGCACGTGTGCTCACGGACTTTCTGTGACTACAAGATGTAATATATAAAGTCTACAGCAAAAGTGTGTGAAAGCATTGATCTGTGACTTTGACCCACCATTATCACTCCATGTAGGTTAACACGCTAAATCCCTGTCTGCTGGTAATTTCCTGGGCAATCTGTTTTAGCTGCTGTTTGCTGGGTGCTAATTGGGGGACTTTCCCACTAGTCCTCTGTAAAATTCAATCAGTCAGAGATCAGGAAGGACTGCTGGTGTTCTCTTACGTTTGTGCCAGCCACCATTGGGTTCCCAAGGTCACACACCACCATCCTGGTCACATTTTCCATCTTGTATTCACAGCTCAGCGGCCTCAGTCCCTACAACAGGAAAAGAGCACCGTTATGGAGTTCAGGGGCAGAATGAGTTACATCCTGTTGCATGCAATGTGGGAGGCCCAGAGCTCCCCTTGATTTCAAACACCTGTGTGGGTCATGCTGCACCAAGTTAATCCAATCTGATACCATCGACTCAAGAGCAAAATCCGGAGGAAAAAGAACAAGTTAAACTTTAGGAGAAGTTGTGTAAGCACATGCTTTGCTGAGGAACCAGAGGCTCGGAGAGTACTTATGTGGACATTTTGTACTTTCACTGTCTTAATGTTAAACTCAGAACAGTAAGATCGAAAAGCGATCAAACATGAACAAAGAGATTTATTCCTGACGTTCCTATCACAAAAGTGAAACTATGAGGATGCATACACAGTTGCTGTGTCTCTATGGCCATTTGCAGAGGAATTGCCTTGAGCCCAGCTTCTGACACATCACAGAGGAACCCTTTGTTAGATCTTGTGTGTCAGATCCTTCAAATATTTAAGATGTAATTTTTAAAAATTGACTTTTTAGGTTAGCATACAAAGGAATGAGTATTTTCTTTCCTTTTTTAAAAAAAGTATTTGTTTTCTTAGAGAGAGAGAGAGAGAGAGAGAGAGAGAGAGTAAGCACACATATGTTTGAGTGACTTTGAAGGCCAGAAGAGGGTGTTGGATCCCTGGGTTTGGAGTTACAGGCATGACACTGTTGTATTCTCTCTCGGCCCTCACAGAAGCATTTTCATTCCTATGTGCTATATACACATTGCTTTCGATAGCCCCCACCTGTACTGTACCCCACTTTCTCTGGTGAATGTTCACGGTTTGTGTTTAACTGGTTCTTCCTCTCTATGCCCCTCTCTCTACACCCAATACTGATCAGAACTTCTGAATACTCTAGCTTGAGGAGGTTCCTGTTTTCGTCTGAATAAGTCTCAGTTTTCCTGAAGATAATGGGGTGCAGAGACCCTTCTCCGCGGCCTCTGCCCCTCCCAAGCCCACCCATGTCTTCATGGCTGGGTGGAAATTCACCCTTCACTTTCCACTCCAACTCCTTATCTGTCTTTCCAAACCTGACGGTGTAGCTGACAATGTCTTACATTTCTCCATCATTTCATCCTAAGTCATTCTTTGCCATCAAATTGTGGCCTGCCCCCTTCATCCCCAAAGATAATTAATATATGAATGGCTTTCACAGTGGCGCATTCTTTGGGGAACATCCGGGAAGTCAGTAGATGAAGGTTTCTACTATGACAATCCCTTACTCATCTAGTACTGCTACTAGGATATTATATAAGGAAACAATATGAGGTTTGTCAAGGAAAAGCTTTAGAAATGTTTCTCCATTCCTTTCTACCTTGGGACACCACCCCCTCCCCAACCCTCACCCAAACTAAGAAAAACCAAACCAAAAATCTTCTAGTCTCTACATGAGGAACTCTATAGTCAACACATTGAGGCTGTAAGCATTAGCATGGCAGGACTTCCGGAAGCTGTCCCTGTCTTAGTGTCTGGAGCGGAGTTTGCACAAAGCATCTGAGCAGGGTAGAAGCAGTTCCCACATTGTCCCCTAAAGAGGGAACTACAAGGAGGTGCCTAGTCTAGCATCTCCCAGGTAACCACGCAGAGTCTGATGAGCGGGAAACCTAGTCTAGCATCTCCCAGGTAACCATGCAGAGTCTGATGAGCGGGAAAGAGCCGAGTGGCTGCTACTCGGCTGAACTCGCTTTCACGCAAGGTTACAAATGCCGTGCAGAGGGCATGGTAACTTTCTCGCACAACTTTCCAGAGCCGGCAATCTCTTTACTCAAAAGGAGGTTTATTGGGTATTCATCTTTACAACTCGCAACCTAGAGTAACAACACAGAGATGTTTCATGCTGAGATTATTAATCATGGAAGCAAAACAAAATTAAAAAGCTTTCGAAAGTATCCATGTTTCCCCTGGCTACAACTCAGGGATTTAGTTTTTATAGTTAAAATGCTTGACTTGTTTGAAGGTGGAAGATCACATGTACTTTTAAAAAATTTATTTTTAAATTAAAAGTATTTATTTTATTTTATGTGTTATGAGTATCTTGCCTATATGTATGCATGTGTCCTGCATGCCTGACACCCAAAGAGGCCAGAAGCAGGCACTGAAATCCCCTAGAACTGGAGATATGGATTCAAGTTAACATGTGGGTGTTAGGAACCAAACCCAGTTCCTTAGCAGCAAGTGCTCTTCACTACCCAGCCATCTTGCCAGTTCCCAAAGATACCCTTCCCTCAGGCTTCCTACAAACAGTTCTTTGCCATCAGTTGAAACATTTCCCTCCCCCTCGTGTCCCCTTCACCCTCTTTCTTTTTCTTTTCTTTTTCTTTTTAGTCTTAATTTTCTCTCTCTCTGATGAAAAAAGAAACCATTTTTTCCTAGACATTGCTGGATTGTTTTTCTCACTGGTTCCAGGAACATTTTTGTTCTAATCCATTTCTGGCTCATAGAGCATTCTTCGCTCCCTTATTCAGTCACTGAAAATATTTATCTTGGGGCTGCTACTTTACCAGGTAAACAAGACCCCACGCCCTTATTGAATCTCTAATCATGACAACAGTTCTATCAGGTGAATTATAATAAGCAATGGAGATGCAATTACAGAAGAATTCACTGTTTTTTTTTTCTTAGTTTGTTTGTTTTTTTAGTTAGAAAGCAAATAGAATTTACGGAAGGTATGCATATGTGTTTAAACAATCAGAGAAGACATCCTGGAGGAGGTAGCATCTAACTAAGCTAACGAGGAAAGGGCTTATTGATAGTTCAAAACAGGAGAGATTTGACTGGTTTTGCAATACAACAGCCAAGTAACTTGAGCACACTGCACAAGTCTGCTTATGTACAAACTCTAGAACAAATTTGATTCTTCTCTATAAGGTTAGCATCAGGATCAGGCAAATTCAATGCTTGCAGGAGTACAGAGCAGTATCCAAACCACAACAACTGTGTAGTGCATGTTGATAATCTTCATTATTAGCTGCCTGCAGTTATTAGTAGATTATAATTATTATGAAGACCCGAAAGATAAATATAAAGAAGTCACTGGAGATGGTAAAGTTATAGTACTAGTGTGTCAGTGCACATTAGAGGGATGAACCAAACAGAAATTCACTAGAGCTAGAATTTAGGTCATGGGGCTGAATGAAGCAGCAACTACTAGGGAGGCTGAAGGCACAGGGACAAGGAAGAGCATGAAAGAAAAAAAATATATAAATAAAGAAGAGAAATAAAAAAGAGAAAGAAAGGAAGGAGAAAAAAGAGGGAGAAAGGAGGAGGGAAATATGGAAGGTAGGAGAGCGGGAGGGAGGGAGAAAGAAAGGAAGAAAGAAAGAGGGTAAGGAAGAAGAGAGGGAATGAAAATAAGGAAAGGAAAAAGAAAAAATTGGATACAAAAAATTATGTACATGTCTAGTCTCATGGATTCTTATTTTGTTATTTTCTCAATTTAAAAAAATTGAACCAAACAGCAATCAAGTATCTTTGAAACTTAAAATCATTATGAATTTCTATTCAAGAAAGTGATTTAAAAGTACATACACTCATCAAATTGTGTACTGAGACTCTTCCTGTCAAATCCATCCTCACTGGCAGGCAGGACAGTTAGAAGGAAAGTCTCCCTGCTCTTCCCAAGAATATATGCAGTTGTCATGTCATTTTTCCTCCCTCACTGCAACCATCAGCATCCCTTGATATTCTAATTTCTCCAAGGAATGATCGAAAATGCTCCCATTTTCTCCTTCCTCTAGTTATGGTGCTTTTATGTTTGTCTCTGTTATTTCAGTAAGTAATAGACAGACGGTGAGTGCAGCTCTCACCCAACACATCAGGGTGTTCAGTGGCCGTTTTAAATTGAAAATGCCATCTCATGATAAAACCTCTGCAGGCAAAGAGAACAAAAGAGAAGGAAAGGCAGAAGAGATGGCTCAGGGGCTAAGAGCACTAACTTCTCTTTCAGAAGACCTGGGTTCAGATCCCACGAGCCCCACTAAGCAGCTCATAGCCACTTGAAACTCCAGCTCCAGATGATCTGACGGCCTCTTCTGACTTCCACACACATATCTACACATACATACACACACATACACACACACACACACACACACACACACACTAAAAATAAGTCTTTTAAGAGGAGGAAAAAGCATGTCGCCTACAAATACTTACATGATATATAAACAAATAACAAACATTTAACTTAAGTGTATTTTTTTAAAATACTTCTGGGTTCCCATCAAATTTTTGTTTTTATTCCCTACGCATCATCCCAGAGACCCCTGACTTTGTTTTTAAAAAACCTCTGTTTTAGAATGTTCTTTTACCAGAACATCCATCCAGTTTGTTGTTCATTTTGCTGCAATGGAAAACACCAGCAAGCCCTTATCTGTATCTTTGGCTATGAACATTGTAGCAGGCATCATCCATAATCTCAACCGAGACTGATGTTTCTTCCTTCCTTCCTCCCTTCCTTCCTTCCTTCCTTCCTCCCTCCCTCCCTCCCTCCCTTCTTTCTTTCCTTCCTTCTTTCCTTCCTTCCTTTCTTTTTTCTTTCCCCTCTTTCCCTCCCTCCCTTCCTTCCTTCCTTCCTTCCTTCCTTCCTTTCTCTTTCTCACCCCTATTCTCTATTTCTTTTGACAGTATCTCCCTATATGTACAGGCTGGCCTTGAACTTGTGATCCTTCTTTCTCTCCCTCCCAAGTGCTAGATTATAAGGATACACAATCACACCAGGCATTGTTTCTGTAACTTTTTAGATGCTCTTACAATGACCTCACATCAGACAGATTACTTTCCATGACATTGCTCAACCATTAGACTATGAAAGCCCCTTAGAGAATGTGGTCTTGAAAAAGTGGTGGACACATAATAAATTTTAGTTAAATAAATCCAACAGCAAGCATTTATGGGGTGCTCATGCTATTCCTATTCCTGAGAAAGAATGTGAAACTTAGTCTCTGCCCTTAATTGAATGTCTTGAACAGTTCTGAAACAGGGGACCTGACAATCTCTCAGACATTTATAACAATGTGTTTGGTTTGTTTGCTTGCTTATTTGTTTTGGTCTTTTTAGTTAGTTTGATATGTAGCTCATGTAGGTCGTCAACTCATGGATTCATTTGCCCCAGCCTCCTGGCTGCTGGATTAGATATATGCCCCCACTGGTCTATTTAGAATGTTTTTCCAGACAAAGCAATTAAGAATACTACAGGTTCCCAGGACACACTGGATGGGAAGAGTCGTGTTCTGGTAAAGATCCAAAAGGCCATAAATAGCAATTGTACCTTTTCAATAAACAGTGACATTGAGGACTGGCACACCAGGAAGAAACAGGCCCTACTCTGCTCGCAGGCCCAAAAATGTGGACTAAGAAGAAAGAAAAATGAACTTGTTTCCTTTGCAATTTCTGTTCAGCCTGTTATCAGTGCTCAGCAGGACTGGTTGGCTCTTCTTCCATCACCAGTAATAAAAACCAGGCCTCCTGTGATCCGCTTGGAACTTAAAGGAACTCAAACCAAGGCTCACAAAGTCAGTGAGGAGAGGGGGTTAGCCTGGGAAATGAGTCATCTGCCTCTTTGGCTGGTCTTTGCTTTGCTTCAGCTCCTGGTCTTTGGCTGATTCATCTTCATACTGTGGCAAAGAGAGATTCTGATACTTCATAGCCCATCTCCCGGGCTCATTGCTAGTCTGAGCTGACAAAGGAAGGCACCATTCTGATCTCTTTTGAGAGGAGATTAAGCCTTGTTGATCAGACTTAGTGTTTATGTGGATTCAAGCCTTACCTTGCTATTGCGCTCAATCCCAACATAATCTGCTTCCTCAGGGATCATAACGAAGAGTTCAGCTTCGTAGGCTCCTTCTCCTTCATTTCTTGCATTTATTATGAGCATAAGGTGATTTTCATCCCCGATAATTATCTGATGTTTATCTCTAAAAAAAAACCCAGTTTAAAAAGAGTGATTATGTAGCTCAACATCACATGCTTCATGAATCTATTTTGGAAATTTAAATACTGTGTGCCTGTAATCTAAGCACTCAGGAAACTGGGGTGGGAGAATTGGATTTTGAGGCGATCCTGAACTATTGAGCTACATAGCAACAGTGTGTCTTCAAACAAACAAACAAACAAACCAACAAAGAAAAAATAATGATTTAGGAGGAAAAAAAGAAAAATTCAAACACAAGGCTAGGACTGAGAAAGAAGGTACCTGGTCAAGAAGGGCTGGTAGGAAGATTTAAGGGAACAATTTCTGAATGGGGAGGGTGGGAAAATGTTCAGTGACGTGCAAGCAACTATTTAACAATTTGTTCTAAAAAAATAAAACCGATACATATCATTTGTGGATTCCAGTGTTGTGTCCTCCCACCTTGACCAATTTGAAGCTATCAACACACTGTTCAGTCGGCTAACAAAACTCCTGCAAACTTAACATTTGACTTCGGAGCCAGAATGAAGAGCTCCCAACTCCTCCATATCACTCAGAACACACATTAGGGAGAGAGCAAGCTGTAGGGAAAGAAAGAGGGCGGGTTTAGAGACAGCAATAGAGGGAGGACACACAGCAACACGGATGAGAAGAGGGAAAAAGAGGCAGGCGACACAGGATCGCAAGTGGCTGATAGAGGGTTCTAAGGTATTTTAAGAAGCTTTGCTTACTTTGAACTCCAAATGAAATCAATATTTAAAAATGCCTCTTCCACTCCTCTCACCCCCCCAAAGCTATTGCTTTTGACACTTACTAAATTATGAACATTGGGACAAGTCCCCTTGAGAGATTACCAAGCTGATTCCAAACACTAGCAGTGCAGGAGTTCCTGGGAGAGTGGTGTTCATCCCACTTTTCCACCCAGGGGTGTCTCAGCCCTACTCCAATTTCTTTCCACAACCCAACAGGGCAATTACCAGCTCTGGAGTCAGGCCTTGCCATCACAAGCAGCTGTGAAGCCCTTTTATTCTCATTTGACTCTCTGACACTTTCTGCTTGACTCCCTGGTGTGTCTTTTAAGTCCTCCCCCAAGTAAATTAAAATTAATTTTGTTTTGACAGTTTTAAGGAGGCCTTTGAATCATGGGGTGCTGCAAAAACAAGTTTGGTTAAGGTGTGGACTGAACCGGCTTGTCTGAACCCTTTCTCACTTGACTGAGGTAGGTAAACAGAACCTGAGCCACACCGCACATGGATTTACTTTCAACAAAACCGCTTTTGCTCCCCCCCCCCCACTCTTGCTGAAAGATGAAATGGCCCAGGCAAGATCTCAGGGTCTGTCACTTGACACCAGTGACAGTGGACTGACCAGATCAGAGGCCAATCCAAAATGTGGCCCCTCTCAAGAATTCCATGCCGTACTCCCCTACCCCCAGTTCTTGGGAGAATATACTTTCCCCAAAGCAGCTTTAAGTAAACACCCATAGACCACCAGGTGTGATGCACGCGTTTATTTATTTAAACTTACGGTCTAGCTGACAGCTTCAAGTCGGGGACACAGAGATTGTCTTCTCCACAGTCCACCAGGATGTGAGCCTGTGTTGAGGAAGTGAGGCATCAGGAAGAAGCTGAGAAAACTCAAATCAGACCCTTCCCCTTGAAGATGCTAAGCGATTCTATCAGCTAAACCAGAACTTTGGTTTCACTGTGCAGAGGCCTCCCAATGCCATCTGCTGTGATGTTAAGTGATCTCTGGATAGAGGCACATTTCCTTGCCCGTTTCCAGTTTGCTCTGAAGTGTCTGTAGAGGATGCTAACTGCACCGTTCTTAGGATGACTGCCTGTCTTGCTTCCATTGCTACTACATTTGAACAAAGCAAACTGTGGTTGCATAAAGGGAAAGGCTTCCAAAATAACAATGAGGAAACATGCTCAGAGCAGGTCTCTACTGCTGTGTATCTCTGCACACAGATGGGAATGAGAAGGGCGCAGGAACAACCCTCTCCAGAGAATGGGAAACGCCTTCAAGGACTTACCTGCTCAGTAACTACGTTGTCCCTGTAGTGATTCAAAATGGGTTTCACTTCCAGGCCATCTGTAAAGGTGGAATCATCCAAACTGTAGTTCAGGCTAATGTTGATTGGAGATAATTTATCTCGGAATTCAGTTTCATCCTAGGAAAAAAAGTCACCAACTCAAGCCCATATCACTACAAGATATTAGTCTATGACAAGCAGGCAACACTAGACCCCCATCAGCGTTAGTGTAGGACAACGTTCACAGCAACAAGCTGAACTGGGTGCTAATATATGTGGTCTGCAATAGATAAGATATGCTCAGTGATGACATCACCTACAGCCAAGGCTTCCCTGGGAGCTCCTAGAGCAATGGTTCTCAATCGGTGGGTCACAACACCTTTAGGGGTTTAATGACCCTTTAGCAGGGGGTCGTATATCAGATAACCTGCATATCAGATATTTACAATATGATTCATAAGAGTAGCAAAATTATAGTTATGAAGTAGCAACAAAAATAATTTTTGGTTGGGGATCACACAACATGAGGAACTATGTTAAAGGGTCACAGCGTTAGGAAGGTTGAGCGCCCCCACACTGGAGGAAATCCTTAGGGTACCACGGACCCCAACACCTGAGTCCGCATGAGTCATGTCACCAGTAAAACATGCACCACAAGTGCCAGAGTACACCATGCATCGGGATGTTTGTTTTGGTGAAGTTGCCAGAAGCTTCTCGTGGGTTCAGTGGAAGAAAACATTTTACTCTTGTTCCCCCTTTTTTTTTATTTCTTTCAAGTTGTTTCAGTGAACTTTAAAACATCTTCAGCACATTTGAAGATGTCTTAGATAAAGGAACAAAAGTCCTGAGGTGAGGAGAGGGCAGCCAGTACTAAGCTCTGAGCATGCAACCAGCATCCCAGATGGGGGAAGGGGCTCATGACCTGGCTCTACATTCTCAAGGGTAGCTGTGGATCTTTGGTCCTCACTAGGATTCTCTGTTAACTAAGTCCTAATGGGAAGAGAAGAAACGGGACTACTGGCCACCGTAGGACAACCGGCAGCATGGCGGTGGATAATTGGGCCCCAAATATTTGAAATTTTAAATTTCATGAGAATTTGTAAAAGCACATCACCTTTAAAAACACAATTACAAATTATTTTTAATGAAAGTTTACTTGTCTTAATGTTTCCCCAAGCCAGCTCTAAGTACATCTTGATAAAGTCTAACAGGACATACTCACATAGGATTAAAAAAAAATCAAATAAATTGTGTTGATCTTTTATGTATGGGGGAGGGAAGGCAGTTAAAAATAAAAGTCACCTGAGTTAAATGTTATTATTAAGATTTTGTCAAAAACGAGAAAGAAGCCTTAGAAATGAATAGCAACAAATCATTGGGTTAGTTGAAGTCAGGGTCAGCAGGAAGTATTCAACCTTATGCTAGAGTTTCCTCCCAGGAAAATGAGACTAGACAGATGGGATGTCTGTGGCAAGTGTGGAGGTTAACTAGATAGGAATGGTTGGAATCTAGGTTCCAATGTGAGAAGCCCCAGAAGTGATTTCTAGAAAACTTACTCGAAGGTAAACGCTGAAATCCTGGCAGTGGAGGGATCTCTGTTGCCTTATCACGAAGGGGAACGTGAGATGGGGCTGGTGGTTATGGAGGAAGAGAGTCCGCTTGATGGCTCCTTTTTGCTTCAGGAAATCTAGCTGCACCTCAGCCACCAGAGCTAAAGGACAGAGAGAGGATGAACAAAGTCACAGGAGGGACAGCACTGGGCAACCACAGTGCTGTCAGGGGTAGGGACTTATTCAGGGAAACCTTTTCTTTTCATAGCTGGATCAAATAACACATAAGTTGAAGAAGTATTAAAAAAAATATTGTCCTGTATATAACTGTTTTGGGGCTCTGCATGCATGTGCGGTGTATGTGTGTGCACATGTTCATGTGTTTATATGTGCACGTTTGTTTATGTGCATGTGGAAGTCAGAGGTTGACACTGGGTGTCTTACTTGATTTCTCCCACCCACTTATTTTTTGAGGCAGGGTCTCTCACTGAGCCTGGAGTTCACCAGTTTGTTTAGAGTGCTGATCAGTGAGGGCTAGGCAGTGCCTGTCTCTACTTCTCCAGACTCGTATTACAGAGGCATCTGCCACATTTGGCCTTTATATAGTACTGATTCATATTTAGGCCCTCATGCTTGCACAGGAGAACTTTACAACTAAGCTTTCTCTCTTGCCCATATTTTGTAACTTAAATTATATACATCTATATAACATATCACTTTTCCAAAATTATGTTTTTAGTTGATAATGCCCTTGATTAAAGTAGTATTAATTAGAAAGTTTTAAATGTGCAATAGAAATATGAATTTTAATAAAGGGTCCATTAGTTTTCTATTGTCTGGGCAGAGAAATATGTCATGTTTTCTTTGCATAGATACCGTAAAAATGAAAATATGCTCACCTATTGTATCTGAAATGCTCTGGCCTGTTATAGACGCACAGACTCTTAGAGAAAAGCTGTGGGAAAACAGTAGTCAGTAATTTTCTGGTTAGTAAAGTTCTGATTCTGAGCTAGGAATCTTCCTTCCCCTCCATCCAGATAAAATGAACACAACATTTCCTTCTATATGCTTAATTATATACACATATGTATGTGCACACACACACACACACACACACTCCCATAGCTTGACACAATACTAATACAATTGGCATAGGTAGCTTTTCTTGAAAATAGTGATAGAGAGTTAATCAATTGATTAATACCCCAGTTCCTTTATGCAATGAATACATATGAAGATTTTCCTTGGGACTTGGGAAAGCTGGGCCACACAGTGGGGAAAGGCCATGGAAAAGCATGGAGAACAGCAAAAACATGGATGCACGTGAGGGACTTGAAGAGTTTCAGTGTGGTTAGAACTCCCAGAAGATGAGGTTGGCTGGTTTGGTTGATGGGTGCTGAACAGGGCTTTGGAGTCATGGTAGGACCTGTGAATTTAATCCTAAGCATGGAAGAGCATGCTGGTCTTAATGCCAGTCAGTCACACTGCTGGGAGGAGCCTGGAACTTGGGAGGCGGAGGGAGAGAAGAGGTGGGAGAGAGAGAGAGAGAGAGAGAGAGAGAGAGAGAGAGAGAGAGAGAGAGCTAAAGCAGCTTACTCAAGCCCAGTGTGCACAGTGATATGGGTATAAAGGCAGTGCCAGCTGAGTTGAAGACACTCATTGTGCCTTCAGTGTGCACTAATTGCCATCCAAGAACTCATGGGTGATTGTCCCACGACCTGAACACGTCCTGGTCTATGGCCACAGACTGAATGAGAAATCTCTACTTATTTTTGTCTGACTTTATCAAATATTCTCACCTCCCTCCTGAAATAGCCTAACCGCCAGCACTGCAGCCAGGGCCCGTGTGCATTGCTAAGAAAGTACAGACACGAGAGAATAGACGATTGAGTGGCAGTCTTAAAGATTTTACTGATAAAATTCTAGTATGATTGGAGTGTTTCTATGGAATTCAAAGGAAATAAATACGCTCCACCTCCAATCATGCTTTAATTAGATGTCAGCTTCCTGTGTCAAACGTAACAAAAACGTGTCACAGCTGGGATTCATCTATCTCCATGACCTTAGTCAATGTCTTCCTTCAGGGTAAGTAAATCTCCACACACCATTTAGCCAAGCGCTTCCTGAGATGTCTGTGCTATTCCAAGTGTTTACACCACTTCCCCAGAGAAATCACAAACTGCAGCCCATTTCTCCTTCAGTTAGAATTATTCATGGAAGGTGGGTAGGAAATTACATCTTTAAATTTTCTGGCATGGATTTTTTTTCCCCATGCCCAGCTCTTCCGTAAGCTCTTGGTATGTGCCGCCATTGTCCACTAACCTATGTTTTATTCACCGTTCCTCAGCATAGACAAAGCTTTGGCAAAATAATTCCACATTTATGGTGAAATTATCAACATACAAAATTAAAATGAATTTACACACAGTAATTGCTTTATCCAACATGAAGCAATAGAACTTTCACAAAGTAAGTTTCGGCTGTGAAAAAGGATGTTGAGTCTTTGGCAAGAAGGGATTTGATAAATGATGCCAGCCGAAGTCTTTATCTTCGTTTATAAATTATGTCAGAGTGCATTTATATTTCTTTCTTGGTTCTCCCTTTCTGTTACTTCAGAATTAACAATTGGACGACTTTAACTTTTTCATTCAAATTTAACATAACTGCTACAGCCTGCTGAATTATTGATGGTAGCAGTTCAACTTCAACCCACCAGGCTAAAGATGGCTCGAATTAAAAAATCTTTTCAACGTGGTAGTTTTTCTATAGTTCTTCTCTAAACTAAAAAGAAAATTTCAAAATTCTACAGTAGTGGATGACAATATCCATTCTAAGTAGAGAAAACTATTTGCTATCTATATCTATAGATGTATATATTGAGGAACCAGGTCTATTCTCAAGCCAATACATAATTATGAATTGTGTCAGGCAAAACTGTGAAATACAGCTTAACTTGAAATATAATTTTAAGCTATGATTTATGTTCAAATTCAGCAAAGCCCAATAGTCTCAAAATTTATTTATTTATTTATTGATTTATTTATTATGTATACAATATTCTTTCTGCGTGTATGCCTGAAGCCCAGAAGAGGGCACCAGACCTCATTACAGACAGTTGTGAGCCACCATGTGGTTGCTGGGAATTGAGCATTGCTCTTAACCTCAGAGCCATCTCTCCAGCCCCTAGTCTCAAAATTTTTGACTGAAAAAAAAATAAAACAAAGCCAAACAGAAACTACATGGAATCAACTGAGTGCTTTTATTGAGAATATCTGAAGGAAACTCTCGGCAGACAGGCTGCTATACACAGAAGGCAGGATTACACAGCATGATCCTCATGCTATTTGCTACCCATGAACTGGTGGACAATGACTTCACAGTATAACTCTGTTTGTGGTTGTGTATGATGAGGAATGAGATAAATGTGAAATCTGATTTTAAATACAAAGCCAGATGGAGGAGATGCTCATGGTCCTGTGCTTGCTGCATGATCCCCGGGACCTGGACTTGGATCTCCAGCATCCAGACGAACCCCCCAGGCCCAACGGCAGTCATCATGGCTGGGTTTGAGGGTGGGAAGAGTACAGAGACAGGGGACTCTGTGGGTCAAGACCACCTTGGGGATTGAATGACCCTTTCAAACAGCTCTCATATCAGATATCCTGCATATTACATATTTATATTACGATTCACAGCAGTAACAAAATTATAGTTATAAAGTAGCAATAAAAATAATTTTATAATTTGGATCATTACAACATAAGAATTAAGGGGTCTCAGCGTTCGGAAGGGTGAGGACCACTTCTCTAGGGTTTATGGCCAGCCAGGGTAGCCTAATTGATGAGAGCAAGGTTTAGTGACAGACCCTGTCTCAAAACTAAGATGGAGACTGATTAAGGAAGATACCCAATATCAACCTGTAGCCTCCACACACCTGTGGTCATGCATATGCGCACACATACATATCACATAAGCATTTCACACATGTACAAAATAACAATGTAAGTACAAAGCGAACAATCACTATTTCTAATTATCTATGTATTATTGTCCGCAGAAGTACTTGATGTGTGTTTGTTGGGGAGGACACATGCCATGGAGCTTATGTGGAGATCAGAGGACTATTTTGTAGAATCGATTTTCCTTCCACCTTTGCTCAGGTTCTGGGGATTGAACTCGGGGCCCAAGGCTTGTGTGGCAAGGGCCTTTACCTGTTGAGCCATCTCATTGGCCCAACTATTACCGAGTCAACTCTACTTTAAGGATAAAAAGTATAAGATTTTACATGATATCATTCATATCTGACAAACCTCTTTTATTCAGATTGGAGAAGTAGATAGCTTTTTATGTTTATAAAATAGAAAAAAAAGTTTTTTCACTAGTAACCAATTTCTTAATATTTATTATGTTTAATTTCACTTCTTTTTTTTCTAACTGAGCAATGCCAACAGCAGCTATTTTATAAAATCAGGCAGCTGACTGAAGAACACAAAAATCCACGTGGAAGGAAGTGAGGAATGATTTGTGACTGGAATTTGCAGAAGGGATTATCTGAAGTGCAAGTTCATGCCAAATCAGGCCAGTGTTACAGCAAAGATGCTTTATAAGTACTCTGGATGAACTGCATGAACCATTCTACGTGAGTCAGCTGTTTGCTTCCTGTCTTCTGTCTGGTTGGTTGGGCTTCTGAGGACAGAACCCAGGGCACTCTACCATTGAGAAATATCCTCAACCCCCAACTTTGTCTTTAAATATTCTGAAACACACAAAAACTTTTACATTTGAAAATTAAGTATCAGCCAGGTGATGGTGGCGCACACCTTTAATCCCAGCACTCAGGTAAGCAGAGGCAGGCTAACCTCTGTGAGTTCAAGGCCAGCCTGGTCTACAGAGTAAGTTCCGGGACAGCCAGAAATACACAGAGAAACCCTGTCTCAGAGAAAAAAAAAATAAGTATCTTCAGAAAAGGATACAATAGAATTAAGCAACAGTTGTATAATTTATCCATAGGACAAATTACATTTTATCTTAGTAACATGACTCCAACAAGGAAATGGCTGCCCAAAGGAGAGGGATTAGGGGAGGGGCTATTCGCAGTTGGTGGCAGCCTGGACCACAGTAACTTTTCCTCAGCAGTGTGAGCCCTGTTGGATTTCCAGGGCCCTAGCGGATGACACCATTCATGCCCACGCATTTATCAGCAGCACTAATTGGGCTCAGTGGGCTAAGTAAATAACTTTAAAAGAAGTACATTAGATTGTGAGGGAGGTGTGATGAGGGTCCTGGGGGCACTGGGAACGGAGCGAGGGGTGGATACGATCAAGATACATTCTATACATGTAGGAAAATTTTCAAAGATTAAAAAAAAATGTTTTCTTTTCCTGAGCAAAAGGAATTAGTCCTATATTGTTTTGAAAAAAGACCTCAGCCTCTTTCTTAAATTCATAATCTTTAGGAAAAAAATCATTTATTTCAAAATAAACACATCTATACTAGAATGTTGCCATTATGCTTGACAGAATGCAGTGTGGAAAGCCGTGGTTTTGAAGGTGTGAGCAGAGGGCTCCTTGGAGAATATTAGAGTCTTAACGCTCACAGCCAAATAGCGCTCACAGTTCCTCTAGTGTTCGTTTAATCACACCAGGCAGCGGGGAAATGCTGGCTTCTTTCACGTATTCTCTAGGATCAGGTTTTCATTATACTATTTTATGGTTTAAACCATTTTAAAGTTTGCTCAGGGCATTTCCCAACCACTTTCAAAGGCAGTTAAAGGAGAGGACAAGCCTTCCCACACAGGGAACCCCTCACAACAGGATGTTTCCCAAAGAATTCTTCGGGAACCTAAAACTCTCTACCCATCCCCCATAGCCTGGACTCCCACAGGAACTCCTGTCAAAAGGCCATCAGCGACATGCTAGGATGTGCTGGAAACAGCTTCTCAGGGTCAAGACCAGATGGTCTTTATTCTGATATTTTCAAGAACCGAACAGTCACCCTGGAAAATGACTCTCAAAGACCTCCGTTGATTTTCCAGAGGAAGTGTCCTGGTACCATGGTCCAGCACAACATCTTCTGATGTCTGGGGCCCCCACACTAACAGACAAACTGGTGTTTTTTGGGGGGATGTGTTACAACCCAGTTTTATATGGTCATTTCGTGTGACAGACAAAAGCTGAATATGCCGTGTTTCCTACTGTCCCTTTTATTCTTGTAATATCACAGTCACAAGAACAGGTCAGTGTACGAAAATCCCCTTTTTTATAGCATTGACCTTCTGTCTAGTTGTCCACGCCAAGTTACAAAACTGCTATTTTTAGTACATGAAACTAAGTAATCCAGACTAGTTTATTTATTTAAAAAAGAGAGACATGATAGATTTCAAAAGTTGTATCCACAATCTATGCAAAACTAAGAGTCTTTTGGTATGTTTTAGGTTTGGTTAACAGTTAGTGTGCCGAGAAGTTTGTTTAACTGGGAATTTCCCGACTGTTTTTGGTCTTTTTTTAAATCTCAGACCCGTAGGTTAGAGCACTGGCCTCTGTCTGAGCCCACAGTCAGAGCTCAGCATCACATCAGCGCTCATCTGCAAAGACCGGCTCTTTGCTGCTCAGTCTACGCAGTCTGGAGGTCTCAACATCCTCTGGAAGATTTTCCCAGATATGCAGAGTGCAGGACCCCAGAGTTCTACCCCGGACTTTCCTCATACAAATCCGCATTTTTAAATAAATCAGATCCAGGTGATTGGAGCCCATGTTAGAAAGTGTGTAGCACTGGGCTAACTTACCAGGCTACAGGTGTTGGGAATTCTGGAAGCTGGCAGGTTTTATTTTCAAGGTTGATAATCATCGGGTGTAGCAGGAGCCGGGCATCCACTGTTACAACTGGCCTTGCTCTGTAGGGAGAAAGCCGGGACATGAGAAACTCATGAATTGTGGAGGGAATCTTTTCCTCATGAGAGGAACCCTCCTAGAGGTCATTGCCAACATATCCCGCCTTGCACAATGAATTCTGCTCTTGGCATGAACAAGTGGGCACCCTGTTCAAGTTATCCCTCTAAATCACCTGAGAGCGGAGAGCTCTAACAAAGGATGCTGGAGGGCCAGTACAACAAACACATTACATCCATTGACCTAATTTCTTTATGGAGTGGACTCACTATACTGTGATAATACAGTGTGATTATTATACAGCTTCATGATTTTCATGGGACCCTGTGTCCATATTTGAGGAGATATATATTTTATTTAAAGATTTATTTAATTTTATTTATATCTATGTACACATGCTGGTGACTGTGAACTCCAGAGAGGGCATCAGATGTCCTAGAGCTATGGGTTGTTGTTCCCATGTGGGATATAGGAACCAAACTCGGGTCTTCTGCAAGGACAGCAAACTCTTTTAACCACTAGGTCACTTCTTCAACCCCGAGACACATCTACTCAGAGTTGAGCCTTTTGAATTTTTTTGGCTCATTGATAATTTTTCAACGTGATTGGTAATTTTCTAGCCAAACCTTGCAGTTTAAGAACAAATGAAAGTGGGTTTATAGAACAATTCTGTATTTCACTCTGACAAGGGGTTCTCAGTCCTGTCTGCACAATGTAATTACTCGGGGAACTTTCAAACAAACACAACACCCAGACAACATCATGGGTCAATGGAATTAGAACCTCTGGTCTAAAGGTCTGGGTTGGAATTTTAAACACATTCTCAGGTGACTCTAGTAGTCATAGCCATATCTGAGGTGGGGAATAGACGTGATTGCCATTAGAGCCGCCCTAGAGAAGACAACAAGGAAAGAGAATGAATCATGAAATAGGAAAGTGGCGCAGCTTTTGAAGTTTCTTTATAAGAGACACAAACTGGGAGCCAAAGTTTCCAGAGTTACGTGTACTCCGATGCTGTGTTGAGTAGGGTTCTTCTGACAGACAGAGGGTCAGGTCTAGGGGTAAATGTTGTGCAAATACTTCAAGCAGTTTCACAATAACAGCATGGGGCCACTGGGATATTTTACAAGCCTCTGGATGTTATCTGTATGGTATTATTTTCAAAACTGTATTATCTCCAGTTCTGGGGGTAAGGATTTGATAATAAAGTGATATTAGGCATGCAAGAGATTTGCTATGGCAATCACCTTTGAGAAGAAAGGGGGGTGAGTGGAAGAAGTGTGGCAGGGGTGGAGGATGGAGAAGAAGATTCTGGCATGGACATTGGGGTGTCCTTGGGCAGAGCTCCTGTGACAGGATTGTCTCCAAGGACCGGCGTGCATTTATATCCTTGTGCCAACAATAGGCTGGGAGTAGCTCACGGAAAATATGAGTTTGGCACAGAGCTGTTGTGGATTTGGAGTATGGCAACAAATCAGGGTTCTTGGTGGTGTAAATTTACAGCCTTAGGAAGCCAAGCCTCATACTTCAGAGGTGCGGGGAGTTTCAGCTCGCTGATGCTCTGTATTGTAAGTGAGAAGAGCTGGCACAAAACAGTCCCTGACACATTTATATTGGGGCTGAGGAAGAAATGTTGGTGTGAGGAAAGCTAACCTTAGGGTCTGTCTGGGAGTTAGAGTCACCTTAGCATCACATGGCTGGGACAGTTGAACATGCGGGTCTGGGACACTTGCACGCGCAGGTCTGGTGCATGCGGTCACCTATGACTTGGTCTTGAAATCCTGATCTAGTTCCTTGGATTCATTTTAAACATTTTAAGAAAGCTCAACCACCTAACCAGCTACTACTCAGTATAATTTGCATTCAGATTCTCACTGAGTCCTTTAAACAGAAGTAGCTGACAAAGTAAGTAAGGATAGTCCACTTTATAGATACGAACCAGAGGCTTAGAAGTGATAAGATGGTGATTCTCAACCTGTGGGTCATGACCCCCTGGGTAAACCTCTGTCTCCAAATGGTTCATAACGCTAGCAAAATGAGTTATGAAGTAGCAACGAAAATAATTTTATGGTTGGGGTCACCATGAAGAATGGTATCAAAGGACCACAGCATTAGGAAGGCTGAGAACCATTGCTATGGTTTTCCCTGGAATTACAGAACAGTTCACGTCTGGAAGGGTCAGGTTCTGAACCCAAGTCCGTTGCACTAATGCTGCAGAGGGCTTGCTGCTGGGAGGGATGACTCCTGGCATGGTCTAGTCCCACCTTCCTGTCCGCACTTGGATGTGAGGGTAAATAGCCACTTCTCCCTGCCACGGTTCTGTCCTGCATGTATAGACACTGATGATCCCCAAAGTACAGACAGTCCAAGTTCAGGTCCATCTAAATCATGGGCTGTTTTCTCATTCCAAGAGTTTAATAGTTGACTCCATGGCAGTTACATTAATAGGAGCTAGAGGTTTGCTTATAAAGCCTGAGAATAAAACTATGTATAAATGAGAGAAAGGTGGAAAACAGAGGGAAAAATACACCCAGAATTTTTAAAAGACATAGAAACATTCTTCAGGATAAACAGGGGAATGGGTCTTTGGAGTCTTTAAGGCAAAACTACCAAAATAGGAAAATGCATTTAAAAGCAGAAGAATATTTGCATACCAGCAACCACATACCTGTAGACAGCCACTTTCCCCTTTCCAAATGCTCCTACAAGTAAATCTTAAAAGAAAGAGAAAAATCAAAATACATGCATAATTTTTTAAAAGTAATTGGGCATTCCGAATCTGAAAACCCCAGATCAGAAGTGTCCTCCCAACCTGAAACTTTTTGGGCATCAACATGATGCAATAAGTGGAAAATTCCACACCAGGAAACCTTGTTTGATGCACAAAATTATTAAAGAAATTTTATAAAATTACCACCAGACTGTGTGTATAAAGTATGTAAAAAATGTAAATGCATTTTGTGTTTGTGTTTGGGTCCCATCTTGAAGATCTCTCAGTGTGCACATGCAAAGATTTCACAACCGGAAAAGAAAACAAGCAGAACCTAAAGACTTCTGTTCCAAGGCTTCTAGCCAGGGCGGCTCAGCCTTGTCTGCTCTAAGCTCGAAATCTGAAGCGGTGCATGGACTGTCCTGGGGGCCGGCTACAGTGAGAACCATGAAAGCAGAGGAAGAATTCCCACTCAGTTAAGACGGTTTGGAAGAGTGTGGGGCTTCAGATGACAAACTGGCACCTGAATGAGTGGCTTCCAAATACCTTCTGTCTTAGATATGCTTGCGAACTCAACATGGTGTCATTTCCCCATATGTCAAGGCAGACGACCCAAGAGAAGGCAAAGGGAAAAGTACACACTGAATGCTGACTATAAGCCTGACTCGCTGTATGTGCTGTCTGATCTCTCCCTTTCCAAGGACAACCCTAGGAAGCAAGAATCATTGCTGCAAATTAGCACATTCTGAGTGTCATTCCGAGACCAAAACCTCAGGAAAACCTTTTCTGTTTTTTAAATATAGCCTCTGGAATAAGAGACTCAGGATTTGACTCTGAGGCACTGAACATGCTATTGTTTGAGAAAGTCAAACACAAGCCATCTGACAAGAACTCTGGAATTAAAGAAACCACTGGAAAGGGGGCTGCAGCTTAGCCAGCTTCTGTCTTAATCACTGACACAGGATATCTAGGTTCCTAAGTCTTCCAGATTTAAAAATCATCTCAATGATTTATATTACAATTTCAGCCTCTCCGACTATTAATGCATTTCTTTTACTGTTACCAGAACATGAAATCTTCTTTGTGGTACTCACAGGCTCTACCTCACCTGAGATGGGTACAACCTGGGCAGCCTCACTTGCATCTGCCTCTGTTACCATGGCAGCAGATAGACAGCTCTGTTACACAAACCCATTCAAGAGGGATAGCAGGCTTTGTTCTTGGCACTAAGTACAGTAAAATATTTATCTATGAATATTGGACCATCTACTAAGGAAAGATGAATTTTGAAATTTTATTTGAAAAGTTTCAATGGCTAAGATTCCTTATTCCACAAGCATGAGGACCTGAGCTTGAACCCTCAGCATCCATGTAAGACATCAGCCATTACTCTACATACCTGTAACCCCAGCTTTGGGGGAACAGAGACAAGTGGATCCCAACAGCTCAGTGACCTGCCAGCTTAGCAGAAACTATGAACTGTGAGAAGGCCATAAGTTGGGCAGCACCAGGGGAAGGACATCCAGTGTCCTTCTCTGGCCTTCTCATGGTCATGTCTGAGCGTGACCACCCATACACTCACATGCACCATACACTCACATGGACATATCATTATCACACACACACACACACACACACACGCACACGCACACGCACGCACACGCACACGCGCGCGCGCACACACACACACACACACACACACACACACATGAGATGAGAGAGATGAGAGATAATTAATGTGATAAAAAGGGAAAGAACATGAGATGACAAACCCTTACAGGGCAGGAAGCTGTGAGTTAGCACAACGACTTCCTCCCATAGTATGTGTTAAAATAATTGAGAAAGGAAATAAATCTTTGCTTTCGTGGCCTTAGGCACAGAGCCACCACACAATCAAGGCCCACAGCTTCCTGCTAAATAAGAGTAAGTGCAACTACTATTGTCTTCTAAGGATGCGCAACACGAAGAACTGCCCCTTACACAGGCAGGTTGTTGGAAACCAGAATGGAGTTCTGCTGTGATTTCGCATGTGCCCTTGGCTATACTGGACAAAGTGTACACATATTCCCCCAAGTCTAGAGAGTGACATGGAGGCTCGGTCACAGTTAGATTGTCATCAGAGCTAAGAAACCCAGAGACAAGCTCCTAGCAGTGACAAGGAAGAGGATCGTCCCTTTAGGCACTGTAAGTGCTCTGCTTCAGGAAGTGAATTTTTTAACTCTGGAAAAAGAAAACTAATGGACAAAATAGGCTCCAATTTTCTTTGTAAGGATATAGCCACAGTTGTTCGGAAGCCAAGGAAACAGTTATTTACCACAAAAGCGTGCTTGTCTTTTGAGACCCCACCTTGGTATCATGCCTGCTGGCAAAGGCCAGAGGTGTTCATGCTCAGGATCTCCAGTTGGGCAGACTTTTCTAAGGGAGGAGGAGGATTTGCTGATTTCATTTCTAACTAATCTGTCTTTCTAAAGGATGGGACTGATTTTGATAAACAGCATGTAGGTTCTCCCTTTTTCTCTCTGCTTCTCTTTATGTATTACATCTATGTTTGCATCCACCTACCTATCTACATATCCTTTATGTGCACAGAAATATGTTTGTGTGTGTATACACATTTGTATATATATATTTGCATGCACAAATATGTATGCACATCCAGAAACAATACTTTGTAAGCACTCCTACACAGTCCTGATTAGTGTGAGTCCGTTTTACCTTCCCATCACCTTATTCTCAGGAGTCTAACTCTTATCATCAAGCTTGATTGCAAGCACCCTTCCCCACTGAACCATCTCACCGGACCCTTTGTCTAGGCATCGAAACGACAATCTGGAGAGAAAGTAATTTTGCTACTGATCTGTAGATCCGTAACCGTATAAACTTTCTCCTCATTCCCTCACTTCTAGACAACAGTCTTATACTATGAGCTCGTGCTTACTTTCTCCCATTGGTAAATGTCTCAAAGGCAAGTCTGAAAACAAGCAGGGGAAAAATGTCGCCCTTCTCCATATATGCACATTAGCTGTTTTCGTTTTGTTTTGTTTTTCTGGAAGAAATAGCTGGCAACTGAAATCAGTTCTTTCCACTCAATCAGAAAATGTTCTCCAAATGCTTCAAGGCTTTGTCACTGCTTCTCTGGCCTTAGGAGCTGGGTTTATTTTCCTCTGGATGGGAGGACAGAGGACTTTAAAGAAACAAAAGGGGGACTTAGCCGAAATGCAGGATCAGTTGTCAAGAACCAAAATAACCCTAAAATGTGAAGTCATCAGAGCTATGCTGTGCCTATCTTTGTAGTCTCCAAAATATTCTTTTAAAATAAGGAGGAAGGGAAGCACTCCACTTTCCGAAGGGCTGCTTGGACTGCAGGCTTTCTTCACACACAAGGAAGGGGAGCCTGTGCTGGAGGTTTGGGGCAGGTGGGGAGCATGCAGTGAGGAGGAGGGGAGACTTCGCAGAAGAAGGGCCACACAGGAGGGACAAAGAGAGGTGACAGTGTTCGGCTAAACTTATATCAAGGGTCATTTCCTTGGTAAGTCTCTGTCATCCATACACCTATACTGTGTAAGATCAGGCAGTCTTTCTGACCAGTAATCTCCATTCTGGAACCTTCTCCTTGTCCCATCATCCTGAGGAATACACAAATCTGAAGTCAGCTACAACAAAGGTCATCAGACAGTTCTTTTTGTATTTTGGAAGTCAAAATAATTTACTAGGGCCTGGGAGTTTGTTAAGTGGACAAAGTGTTTGCGTTGTATGAGCAAGAGAATCCAAGTTCAGACGCTGGGAAGGTTGTTCCTGAGGGTTGTTGATCAGGTAGGATAGCTGGACATCTGTACTCTAGGTCCAGTGGGAGACTCTATTGTAAAACTAAGGTGGAGAGTGACAGAAGAAACACCTATCTCTGGCTACCAGGTGTGTGTGTGTGTGTGTGTGTGTGTGTGTGTGTGTGTGTACTCTGTGTGCAGCAACTCACACACAGGGCTTCTTAATTTAGTATACTTTGGGACAATGAAGGGTCCATAAGAACATCCAAAGAAATTTGGAAAGAGGGAGTCCAGTGGGTAAGAGCATGGTCCTGCTTCATAACCCAGCACCCACATCCAAAGCCAGTCATGACTGTCTTTTCCATTACCTCCAGCATTTAGGGGCAAAATAAGCACCTAGACTAGCTGAAATGGCAAGCTTCTGGTTTAGTGGGATACCCTGTCCCAAAGTAATAAGACAGAGAGCAGTGACAGGATTCTTGATGTCCCACACTGGGCTTGAATGGGCACACACATCCTCTATACAATAAATAAAAAAAATGAATCCCCAAATATAACATATATGGAAAGGTAGTAGTTGCAGAAAAAGGTTAACAGAGCTGAAGAAGGGGCACCTTAAATATTGAGAAAGTGAAGAAATCATGCAGGCATTCCCAAATTATAATTTTAGCAAATACACCCAAACATGTTTGAAAGAACGGAATAAGCAGGAAACTATTGCTACCATGTTGTCACCTGATCAAAGGTTAGCATTCTTTTATGTTTTCCAGAGTGTGTGTCACCTAGTTAAAACTAAATGTTAGTGGTAATTGTTTATACCTAATCTGTAGCAAACACATACAGATGGACAAAACCATGAACACATTCATAAAAAAATTACAAGGGGAGAATTCATATAAAACATTTATTGCCAACAAATACACAGGAAGATATTTAACTTCCCTAGTCACAAAAGTATTGCAAATGAAGGCCAACAATGAGATACTATTTTTAGCTTTTTAAATCAGAAGGATGAAAGATTGGCACTGGGGAGGTAGTGGAGGGCTATGAGTTCATATGCCTGGTTTATGAGAGGGTAAATGATGGAATTTTTTTGCAAGGTAGTTTTTTGTTATTGCTGTCCTTTGTTTTTGAGATAGGTTCTCACACAGCCCAAGCTAGCCTTGAACTTGACACACAGCCAAGGATGACCTTGAATTCCAGACCTCACCTCTAACTCCCAAGTGCTGGGATGAGGGGT